CTCTTATTTGTCTCCGCAAGCTCCGTTCTGCGTAGATGGTCAATTGTCACACGCTTTGAAGATTAAACAAATCTACAAGCTTAGGAGTGTGGAAATTGGACCACGTGAAGGGTTGTGATCCTAAGAAGGCCCAAGAGGCGAAACTTTCGTCCTGGCAGTGTAGTGCTTGTGTGGTGATCCAATTCTGGCTGTCATTTGTGGGTATGCGCAATCAAACTTGGCCATGTCTCACCTCCGGACGGTTCCATGTGTTGCCCAGAAAGGGACTCAAACCCAATGGCTCCTGTATTCCAACAAGGACCCCTGGGTTACCCCAAACGAGCCGGGGGAGACTCCTGGCCGCGGGGGTGGTGCCCACGAAGCCCCGATTCGGAGTCGCTGAGTCAGGACTTTGAACTCTTCTTCGCCACCCGCGCCAATCTGCGCAAACCTCGGCTCGAGAGGAAGGGGGAGAAGCAAGTGCTGGTGCGAACTTCGAACCTGCCTTGTATCTTCAGGCCGTTGTAGGTTTCGATCGTTTTCCCTTACCAGCAACAAGTTGACTGGTTGCCGGGGAAGCCCGCGTCGATGAGGATGTCAAGGAAACACAAGGCGACCACGGACTTGATGACCTTTGCAAAGATGAAGATTGGGGGGATGTGGCAGAAATGGATCACGGCGTGGCTCTCTCCTTTTGCTTGCCCCTTTTCAGTGGTGACGGATGTTTCCTTCAGTTGGTGAGCCTTGGACGGTCTTTTGTGGGTCTTTTTGACGGAAACACCATGAACGTAAGACATGAGCAGTTAAGGGGCTCCTTCGGTGCCTTGGGCAGCTGAGCAGGGCCAAGTATTCAACAATCTCAGAAGCTTTCCACTAACCCCAAGCTACAAGAAGGGAGCTTTGCACCCGCAGTGGCATTTTGGGTTAATGTGCTTTGTGCCCCACCCCCCACTTTACCCAGAGGGGAGTAGCTTGGTTGTGGAATCAATCTTGACAATGTCTCCCATGAAGGTCCTGTTGGACCCCTCTACCCCCCGAGGAAGGTTTAACCTCCGGCCTTCTCAGAAGGTTTAAGAACTCTTCCTGAGGTTTGGCAAACCTTTGTTTTGCCCTCTACAGTAAGGGTCAACTCTGTGAACACCCCAAGGCTGATTTGATGCAGCTTGCTTAGGGTGCCACATAACGTGCCATTCCTGAAGCGAACATGCTTGAGTCAAATATGAAACTCCGGCATAAACCAACCGGCTGCCCGGACTAATCGGTTCTTTTCGGCGGGCCCAAAAACAGTTTCTCATCCTTCAGAATCCATCAAACCTGTTTTGGGTTGTTTGGAAGAAACACGTTACCGGCCGAATATACCTTAGGTAGACCGCTGGATGCTCCCATTGGAAAAGTTCGGAACCAGAAGCCAATGTGAAATCAAACCGCAGATCCAGAACCCAACCTTTTCATACGCAAGCAGTTAGCTGTGGTAGCAACAGCAAAATGGCAACGGTTCATATCTCCTGCTGTGCAGGCTTTTGACGAATGAACGCAGTTGGCCGTTTCGTGTACTCAAGATTCAGCAGCTGGCTTCAAGAAGCAGGACAAGTATTTCTACCTCTTTTGGGTTGTTCCAGCCAAAGGTCGCCAAGGGCCTTTTTGGGCTTAACCTTGTAACAAAGCTGCGCCGAAGAAGGTGCATCTGGTTAAGAAGAGAGATGCATCTGCCTAAAAAGAGTGGAGTGCAGGAGAGTGCAGGAGTGACAGTCAAAGAGATGCTTTGGGGAACGAGCCAAACCGTTTTGAGCCACGGGTGTTCATTTAGCACTTCGGGCCATTTGCTTCGCTTCCGTCGGTGTGAGGTGGCACTACGACGCACGGGGAAGCCAGGTTCCGGTGGGTTACACGAGGATGTGGGAAACAATTGCTCCTCCGCAAATGATCATGGAGCCCCAAGTGGGGGTCCCCAAAAACGAGATTCCAACATTCCTCCAAAACAATTTAATGAGTTTTGGGTTCCATGTTAATTTGGAGGAGTCTGGCTTGCCATGAACCCTAGAGTGAAGCCAACTCGGGTGGCCAAGTCAACCATGCCAATTCTCTTTGCGAAGTGTTGCCCAGAAGGGGAGGGGAGCGGATTGCTGCGCACACTTGCCATGGAGATGATGGACCATATGGACCCCTTTAAAGCAGGAATTTGGACCGTGCAAAGGATCCCTTGTAAGGAACCATGCAGGACGCTTGTGCTTCTTGATCCTTTTCGATATATTTTTGTGTAACATGCATGACTGCAAGACATTTGCCAAGCGCCACTTTGCAAAATTGGTTGCTTCAATGTGAGTCGTTGTAGGGGCGAATGTGGCTCCTAACTCCACCGAACTCCAATCACCAAGACCATGTGTTGCACATGTGGGTTTGAACTTCCCGCATTTTGCACAGATCCCCCTCAGCATTGTGGGATTCTTAGATACTTTTATGGAGGTAAGGACCTTCATGGCAGAGCCATTTTCTGTCACCCATGAAGCGGCCCTGGTTTTCACTGCATCAGCACCGGCTGATTGTTGCTGACCTGTCTATGCCGATCAGTTGAAAGGAGACATAGTATGGCAAATGAATCTTGGCTAGTGTTTTGCGAGGGCTTTCCAGGCCTCAAAAGCATCTTCCGGATCTTTTGTTTTTACATTTGGTCGAGCCACACACGGATAGTAGGGGAGAGTCTCAACCATACATGGGTGTGGCCGCCCCTTCGACTCTTTACATGCATTTGGGTAGACCACTTTAATACTCTAGTTTGATTCTGACTCAGTTGGAGTTGACAAATCCGCTCAATTGGCCAAAGCGTGATGTAACATTATATACGGCAGGTTCGCCTGCGCTCGAAGCATGAGCAGATGGCGGCCCTCCTGCAGCGCGCGCGGAGCGTGGCAGAGGCGCCAGTCCGGGGAGGGGGGGGATGAAACGTAATATGTATACATTATACATTTATATATATATATATAATTATATACACATAGATGTATTTATGTGTGTGTGTGTCTTCAGTGTGTTTTGAGGACAGCGTTTTTTGGGTTGGTTTATAGGAAAGCCAAAAGGAAAAGTAAATTTGTTGGGCCCCCTTACTTTGACACACAGACACCCAACTGGAGCTCCAACATCTGGCCTCCCTCCTAACGTGGCACCTCACAAGGGGTCTCTTCGTTCTAGGTACCCTCGCATAGGTGCTATGCCGGTAGGAGGTGAAAAAGTGGATGGTTTCTTTTTGATGTCCAGAGAGGGCCATAGTTTATTTTGGATTTCTGAGGCTTGGTGTTTTCTTGCTTTCCTATTACCTTCAAAGACCATCCAATATCCACAGGGAGTCCTTCGCGGGGTTGGGGTTTGACGGTTGAAGCGTCTGAGAAGCTTTCTGGTGGGTAACAACATCTTCGTTTCATTGTGTCGCACACACACACACACAAATTCATCAGCCGGTGGGAATTCCAGGCTCGTCTCCTGGGTGATTTGTTTTGATGTTCCAATAGGCGGGCCTAAGGGGTCCAATGTTTGGTTGAGCCGCTTGGCTTTTTTGCAGTGTCGCTTTTCAGCTTCTGGGATGTGGAGTGTTTTGCCTTCTCGGCCGGGTGCTCGCGATTTCTTTTGGTTCAAATGTGCCATTGCCGCTAGAGTCGCAGGTGAGCCCAGATAGTGGGCTGCAGGTAACTTCATGTGGGGGTTCGTTTGCCCAAGCCCAGCAGGTTTCTCCTGACGAGCTTGACAAATCCTAGAAGTCTGCGAGTGTAAGTGCCAGGCTAGCAAAGAACTCTGCACCTCGACAAGTCAGCTTTACCCGAAGCAATCCCTAAGCGAGCTCCCTCATGAACTACAAGCTAAACTTCAGAAGAAACAGGGCGGGGGGGCAGCAACTGTATTGGGGAGAAAATCAGACGCGGCAACCATGCCATTCGCAGAAGTGTCGACATTCTGCACAGCATGCACTTTTGGCATGTGAGCGTTGTTGGGACGCTTGGTAACATCCGACATCTTTTCTTTTGACCCATGTTAGAGGCATCCCTGACCCCATAGGATTTACCCCAATTTCCGGGGAACAGGCGCCGACAGTCCGGATTGTTCTGAGGTGGCTGCCGCCATTTCCGCCTCGGACGAGGCAGATGTTTGGTTGGGGTCGGGCGACAAAATGAGTCAAATCATTCAGCGCCAACGGTTCTCTCCTTTCATTGTTTTTTTGAGGGGGGGGGAGGGAGGTTGGGGTTTCCCTTCAAACACTGTCCTTTTGGCTTGAAACAACGCGACATGTTCCCGTGCCTAGCTTCACGAATCCGTTTGGAACTAGAATGAAGGTATTGGATGCCCCTTTGGCATGGATCAGCTGGTTTTGGACGGGCCCTGGCCTCGGGAGGTTGTGTTTTCCTTGGCTAAATTGTTTCCGCTCAGGGTTGAATGGGAGCAACGTGAACCCAGCTTGCGCAGTTGGACATCGAGCGCTTGCCGCTGGAAACCATCGAGGCGATGGGCCGAGGGCCTGCCCTTGGGCCAGGGCGTTGGACCCGATGGGATGCATGCTACCCTCTCTCCCACTAACATGGCACCTCACACAGGGTAGCGTCTCCGGGACGCCTTAGTCAAGTTCCATGCTAGTGGGAGGAAACTATGAAAGATCTGAGGGTCATGTTCCTGGCACTGAGACTTTGTGGGTGTGAACAATGGTCAACATGTGCTGTCATCGGTGGCACTGGTAGTAAGGATGACGTGGGGGCAAATTGACAAATATGAGCAAATGGGCGTTACACGAGGTTCGGCGGTCTATGGTGAATCTTGGACTGTCCACTACTAGCCTTTATCTGCCCAGGCTTTCGTTGTGGCTCCCTAGAATGAAATGAGCACCCACTAAAAGGGAACCCCTCCTGATAAAGTCTGGTCCTTTAAGGCAATCGGAGGTCAGGGGATTCTCAATGCATGCACGACATTTCCCATGGCCAGGTGAGTTGGTCTAAGCAGTCCGGCTTAAACCTTGCCAGACTCCGATTTGTGCCTCTTCCGCCAGAGCTATTTGGCTCAGCATTTAGGAGACCCGCCCTTAGGTTGAACGTAGCAACGCCATGGCTGCGGCCAAGGCACTGCTTGTCGCTCGGCAGCAACTGGTGCCTATCTTGGCACTGCTTCCCGTGGCCCGAAGAAGGCTTATATGAGACAGGCAGACTATGACCATGTGGGCGGGAGTGCGGGCAGAGCTGCAATCAAAACTCAAACAGGTGTTTGCCTGTAGGGTGGGCCGACCCAGCTGAACTTTCTGGAAAAGCGGAGGCAGTCTGACTTTTTCAACTATTTGTGTTCCCCTTGCGCTTTTAAATATCATCTTGGCCAGTTTAAAGTTATCCCTTTTGTATTGACCTTTGCAGAAACATGGGGACACAGGTCCTTGTGACAGGCTCGGAATCGGAATTGGGAGCTCTGGAGCTCCTAGAGACCATGCCGTTCGACATTTTTGGCAGCTATCGACAACCTAGAGATGGTTTTGGGATGCTCTCTGGAACCAGCTAGTCTGTTGAATGAGTGAGGGGTGAATTGCTAGGTTCTGTTGGGTGGATACCAAGGACCAAAATACAAGTGAACCAACCACGAAGTACCTCTGGAATCAGGGCTGGTTTCTGTTTTGCGGGGGAAACATTTGAAGAATTCGAAAAGGGCATCACTCTAAAATCACAGACTTGGTATCCCGTTCCTGCTAGAGGTAGATCATGAGAAATCACGGTGTGCAGGCACTGCCCCTGTCCCCCCACGGTTTCATCTTTTTTCCTCCAGGCATCTGCGGGCTGAAAACCCTCCCCTTCCCGCTGGCCAGTTGCAGCTAGGTTCTGCTGGCCACGGCCAGCGGATACAAGCTCACCAAGTCCAACGAGTCAAGCATCAGCCTGCACCGCGGATGAACCGGGCTGGTTCCCTTGGCTTCGGATTCGTCCGGACTCCACTAGTTTGTTTGAGGACCCCAAGTTACTTCATCTCCTTACACAAAAAAAACCACTCCTGCTTAGGAGAGTCCTCCAGATTGCTCCAAAGGAAGCATACAGTGGGGTGTCACCTCACACTGGTTTGTGGGGGGTCTATGCGGTCTGTAAGGGGGGACACTTGTTTATTAATCCTTGATGAATATTATGGGGTCTATTCATTCATGGGATGAACACCTTTATTGAGGCGGTAGCCAGGCGTAGTATCCTCTGGTTGATTTTGAGTGGGGGTCCCTTTTCAGAGAGAACACGGATCACTTTTCGGGGAGTTGCATCCCCGTATTAATCTGCTGGGGTTATTGATCCGATTTCGGGGGTGTACGGTTTGGGGATCCATTTTGTCATGGTTACGACACTGTTTTAACGACAAAGCCCACGCTTTCCGCTTTTCCTAGTCAGATCGAACCCTAAGGCTCCACGTGTGAGTAACTAGCGGTTGCCCTCCACTCATGACGGTTCGGTTTGCCGTGGTTGCTCTGAGAAATTGCGTGCACTGGGCCCAAGAACCTTCCTCACCCTTGGGTTTGGGCCAAGCGTTGGGATGTTGAAGATATCAACAGCCGTTGATTCGGCAGAGGAGAAGGCTTCCCCCTGTCTTAAATTAGCATGTCTCAAAATGAGGGCTTCCCGAAAAGCTTGTTTTAGCGAAGAAATTGGAGATCTTTCTAGTGCCCTTTCTGCTTCAACCTGCCCCAAAGGCTCGAGAATGCTGAAGGCCGAGTGATTTTGACTTGCCAAAATCGCCAGTCCGGCAACTCCGGACTCCATTCTCCGCACTCCCGTTGCCTCTTTCAGGCACCTCGCAGTGCCCCTGTTATGATGGCTATATGGCTGTACTTCCCGTTCTCAGACCCCGATAGCTTCAATTTGGGGGTAGTGGAAACCATCAGGGTGTCCAAAGTGGGAGAAGGCTCCTCCTTTTCTTACACACTTTTCTCTACACTGTCAGAGACTCTTCAATTTTTGAACGTGAACTAAATACTTTTCTTCAACGGTTGACTCAATAATCAGATTCATCAGGCACACAAAATCTGATTGTTTTTCTGTCCGACGCCGCCATTTTTGCGGGCCGAGTTGAGGACGTCCCTTCCGTATTCACCTCAAAGCCCAATGCCCCAGGCTCGAAGCAGGCGAACTGCCGGAGTGCAAAGGCCTGCCTTTGCAGGCGGGGTCGAAGCAGATGTTCTTCCGAACGCATTCGGTTCGGTCCAACTTTCCAGTCCGTGGTTCATTTGCGAAAGAAATGGGGGATGAGGCTGAGCTCTGAGATCCCCACACAAACCACAGGACAAGCCCTAATCATCCCACGCCCTCTTGGGGAAACATGTAATTTGGACCATGACTCATAGGGTAGATCATGAGAACACCAGGTGCTTCCCTCTCAATTTTCACAGTTTTGCCATGTTGCAGGGTTCTGCCAGCGGTGCGGACGAGTGGCAATGCGACACCCTTCACGGCGAGCTGGGCACAAGTGTTGCTCTGAGCGAACAAGGGGTGTGGGGAGGGGTGCGGGGAGGGGCGTGGGGAGGGGTGTGGGGAGGGGTGCGGGGAGGGGAGGCCACGGGTTGCAAAATAGACCATATAAGTGTCCACCATCGCGGGGTGGGAGAGGCGGGAGAGGTGTCCGGGTCCATTCGAGTGACTTGAAGTGGTGATCAAAATCACCTTACAAAATGGATCAGGGTCGAGGGCTGCTTCCATGGGCTGTTGCGGAGCTTCTTTCACGTGCTGTGCCGAAAAGGAAATGGGCGTCCTGGAGATTTGGAGTACAGTGAACCAACCCCCAATTGTGTTATGGGTCTAGTACAAGCAATGCCATGAAAGGCTACGCATTGATGATCTGGATGCTTGCTTCTCTTCAGAATGATTGGTAATGTGTTGCACGTTCAAGCCACAAATGAAAAAAATGAGACTGGCCAAGCAGGACACCGTGCTGTTTTGTGAAACAAACATCATGGAGCGTGAACATATGTGCATGTGAGATACTGTTGTAAAGCAAAGTTTCTGATCGGCCTCTCCCCAGTTTCAGCATTTGCTGGTATGTTGGTTTGTGCATGTGTGAAAAGTTTCGGATCGACAAATCCATAGTAGCGGCGAATGTGTTGGTTTCTCTTGATGGCACTTCGGGTGTATTTGGTTTATGGGAGCTGGGTGAGAACAGGGCTGTCCAGCCTAAGCTGTGGCTACTACCAACTGCGGCGAAATTGAATGGCGTCCCAACCGCTCATCTAGTCTTCGTTTGGAGGTGTTACTTTCTGAGTATGCACTCAAAGCCATGGCTATACGGAGAAGACTGCCAGATGCCAAACGGGTCCCAAGGGTTTTCCAATAAAGGCGAGTCCAACATGTGCTGAATGCATTGTGCGACGGTGAGCGGTGAGGGCTTGTCACAATTTCGTGGCCACTTGCATGTTATATACGCCCTCGAGTCTTGGTTTGTTTCCGAGCAAGTATATTTTTTAGGCCCAAGTTCTGGGTGTTAACACGTTGTATTTCTGCAACATATTTAACTAGTTTGCAGTGCAAAACATGTTTTATACGCTTTCTTGTACGCACTTAGCATATTTTGATATGTAGGTGTGCATGATGATGCATTCATACCTCCCTGCCTGCCTGCATGCCTACCCATCTATGAAACATACATGAGTTTGTATATAGGTGCGCGTTGCAGCGGTTTTCCCTCACCTCGCTCATACTTTCGCTTGGCCCAAGGATGAGTTCAAGTGCACCAATCGTTATGATGCGGGGGTCGACGGCAAGGTGTACCTGCAATGTTCGGCGCTCAGCTTGCCCGGGGTATTAATCCGGAGGCTCCCACTAGAGGAACCCCTCTGATTCTAGATCAGTTTGCCACAAAAGGGGTTTCCCTCCGCGGACTCCGAAGTTTGGCATTAATACCTGGATCTCAGTAGAACATGGGGTGTTTCGAGCGATCCAACTCCCATCTACAATGAGACCACCCTATTGGTCAACTTGCGGCCTATCAGTTCTGCATTCCCATGTCTAAAGAATCCCGCAGAGAAAGCGGATCGCTTCCCCACCAATGATTCGCAAGGTCCCGCTGAACCCAGACCCTCAGTGGTCCCTGTTTTCCTTTTCTTATTTTGTGCAGGGTGCCTTCAAAGCCAACTGCCACAAAAAGGACACCTGTGGGTGTTGTCCTTGAATGTCAGATCAATCTGGAGCACTGCATGCAGAGTCGAATTCCCTATGCGCAAAGATGGGTTTACGACTGATCCATTTGCAAAGGGATTGTTTCATCTGAAGTGGACATGAGGAAACTCTGCTTTTCCCAGGTTTTGGGAACCATCTTTTGGGGGGTTGATTGCCAGATGGAAGCCAAGAAGGAACCTGACCTTCGCACTTGGCCGAATTTTTGTTTGAAAGCCGCGCAAACCACCGGTAAAACTGCAATTTTGGGGTCCCCAGTTTTGGCACTTACCCTTATGAAGGAAGAGCTTCTCTGGATCTCTGGAGCCCTGGGTTAGCAACTGGGGGATAGGTGTCTCTTCCAATGAATGAAGGGATGCAACGTGGCTGCTTCAGGGAACTATGATGTGACCTTTAGATCCCCAGGATTGTCTTTTGGCCATGATGCCATTTTCCACTTGAGGGTGACAACGCGGGTCAAGAAAGGTGCACCTGGGATCTGGCTGGTCAGCACGCCATGTTTGGTGTTTGTTTCTCGGGTTTTTCCTCATCAGGTCGACATCTTCCATCGTTTCCAGTTTCTAGACTTCCGTTTGCGCCTCTCCCGCTCTCTCTCTCGCGCTCTCTCTTTTTTTTTGTTCTCTCTCTCTCTCTCGCTCTCTCTCTCTCTCTCTCTCGCTCTCTCTCTCTCTATATATATATATATGTGCGTTCAGTGATACGTTGCTTTGGCAAATCTGGGGCGTCAACTCGTTACCTCCTTTCATCAACCTGACACCACACTTTGGCATGAAGATCAAGGCGTTCGAAACCGGCGCGGGATTTCGATCTCAGCGACCGCGTGCCGCGTGCCGCGAGTCCCGCAAGGTGCAGTCCACGCCAAGAGCAACAAGGCCTTCAACTGCCTCGCCTCCCAGCGTTGCATCCCCAACGCCAACGCGGCCCAGGGAGCACGAACCTCAGAATCGGAGCCAAGGGCGAGGTTTGCTGAGCGCCCCAATCCTCAACCAAGTCCCGGTGTTTGGCCGCTTTTTCTTTGTTTGATGGCTGCACCCCTGTGCATTTGCATGTTTACATCAGCGTTCCAATTCTTTTTCTACCAGGGCCACTGGTTGCGCCCCCTCAAAATGTTGGACCTTTTGGTTGGTATTCCCCCATTTGTCCGCGTCTCAGGATGCCAACCGCTGCCACTGCGACCCTGCCACGGGCACAGCTGCCATGGGTGCCAACTGCAAGGTGAACCTGGCCTACGAGTGCGAGTCCTGCCGCCCGGCAAAAGACAGCGGTGTTGCGGCTTTTTCTTCCCGGGGTCCAAGTATGATACTCCTGCTGGTTTGGTTGAAGGGCATCTGTCAAGTATATGTTCGCATCTAGCAAAGCCGCAAGTATGAGGTACTTGGACCATGTGGGTTCGACAATATATAATGTGAAGGGTGACTGGACAACAAGGTCGGACAGAAGCCCGTGGGTTTGCAGCACTGCCTGGGCGATTGTAGCCATTTCAGTTCGACTTATCAGCCTTTGGCTGTGATGCCTGGACCCTGGCTAGAGCCAAGATTGGATGATGAGTTTTTCAAAGCAGTGGTGTTCAACGTGGGCGAGCTATGGGAAATCAGAGTGTACGATGATGAAGGGCATGGGCAAGGCACTGTTGTGGTTTCTGTCAACAAAGGCTTGAAGGTCGCCCGTGAGGGTGCGTGGATACAAGCCTCGTATGTGGCTGCCTCTGACCAGTTCTACAGGTGGTGGATGTCAGAGGGAGAAGGCGCACGTCTTAGAGCACGGGGTGTTTACCACATCTGCGGGACAGATGCAGTTACCTGCACTGCGGTGAGAGCTCGTGAGAAACCGATCCACACTGACCGGCTTCGTTCCCTTGCCCTTGGTGACCTGACAAGTCCAGCAGTGCCCTGGCTGAGCAGCCCCGAGCCTAAAGCCGAAGTCGCGGCCTTCTTGTCCGCTCGGCAGGCTGAGGCCGACCCTGTGACGCGTGGAGATCGGGACGGCCTCCCGGCCATAGAGTGGCCTGTGGATGGAGTGGGTGATGCAGAACCTTCCAGCGGCTCCGCCAGCAGCGACAGTGAGTCTGAAGAAGGGGTGGTCCTCAAAGAGAAGTTAAGGATTCTTCAGAAAGAGCTTGACGGCCGAGCTAAGAAAAAGTCAAAGCAGAAGGCAAAAAAGGAGAAGCAGAAGAAGAAGAAGGTGGATGGCGTTGATGGCGGACGGAGCCCGGAAAAGAGAGAAGGGCGCCACAAAGATCGGCGACGATCTGAGGGCCGAGAAGAGCGCGAACCAAAGGAGAAAGGCCATGGAGCAAAGCGCCACAAGCCTGGGCGCCGAGCTTTGTTTGCCCCGGCAACAGAAGCCAGTGACAGTGGCCGGGATGAGCCAAAGTCTTCCCGTGCAGCAAAGGAGGATCATGGCCCGTTTGGTGCCGGACCAGGCGTGAGATTTGGCGAGGATGCCGAGTCTGATGGTGAGTCCGACTCGCTTTTTCGCGAAGCCTCCTCTTCCTCCAGCAAGCAGATGAAGCTGTTGAGGTATGCTCAGGCTCGGCCGGGCCGCCTGGCATCTCGGCTCTTGCTGAAGATGCACGAGGCGGTGAGTCAGGAAGGGGGGGCGGAAAGCGCTGCAGGAGGTGTGAAGACTCCGGCGTCAGCGACTCCGTACTTTCTGGGGATCATGATGACCAACCTCAGGGACCGCATGAATCTTCAGCCCACGCAGCAGATCTTGCAGCGCAGCGTGTCAAGGCGCTAGAGAAGTCAATCCAGGATGGATCATGGGCGCGCGCGCAGCATCTGGAACTGCTGCCACCGGAGAACGCAGGCTTGACCGAGAGGGACGAGGAGGTGTACTACCAGCCAGGCCCTCTTGAACCTCAAGCTGCAGAGGGCGGTGAAGAGCGAGAGTTTCTGGCCCGAGGGAAAGGGCAAGAGCAGCGAGCGGTGGAAGGCCCAGGGTCCAAAGGGGAAAAAAGGAGACGGCAAGAAAGGGGACAGCAAAGGGACCTGGAAAGGAGAGAGGAAAGAAGGCGGACAGTGACTGAGCGGCCGTGCAAGACGTCACTCACGGCCTGGAAGCTGGCTGTCTCAGCTTGGATGTCAGAACCGAAGACAATTCAAGACGTATCAGAAAGGCTGGAAAGTTGGCTGTTTCAGTTACCCTCCTCACTCGGGGAGGTGGTGAGAGGTGCGGAGGCACCCGAGGCCGCGTGGCCTGACGGGAAAGTTGAAGAGCTTTTCCCAATGCACGCTGCCGCAGTGACCGCCGCATTTTGCGGGGACGACCCTCATGTGGCAAGTTGGGTGCGGGCAGCGATCCATTGTCTCAACTACATGTACATGACTGGCCAGCGATGGAGGAACCATTCGCGCGTGTCATCAGTGCTCAGGCCCTCGCAGATCCAGGTGGTGGAGCATCTGGCAAATGCCGTCACAGGCTTCATGCAGGACATGTGTAAGTTCCCCAAGATGAGGACTTGGGCAGCCAGGCTAGGTTCCCACCGCTATGACTATGCCGGAGAGCCCATTGCGGTCATGGAAAGACTAAATGCTGCCAAAGTCATTGCGGCCTGGCCACTGCCGGGTGAGGCAGCTGTGCAAGATGTGCTGCCTTTTGTGGATACGCGTATGCAGGTGTTGCTCGAGAACCCGGAGCAGTGCTTGAAGCCAGAGGGCGCTTGGCCAAAGCGCCCCCCAAAAGCTTGCGTCAAAGCAAGTGACGCTGAGTGGGACAGCGTCGTCCGCGCGGCGTGGGAGCGAAACAGGATGGTGCCCGTTCCCCTGGACTGCGTTTTCAAGGACCAACACGGGAACCCCGTTCTGAACGGCGCTGGCGCTGTGGAAAAGATCAAACTGGTCGAAGGGCAGGAGATGGCTTGCCAGCGTTTCATCTCCAACTTGGTGCCGTCAAACAGCTACTTTGATCACATCGAGGGCGATGACAAGTTTTTGCCCTACTTGGGCCAGCTGACCGTTTTGACCTTGGATGAGCATCAAGAAATTCTTGTGGACTCAGAGGACCTTGCATCATGCTTCAACCTGTTCAGGCTGCCACCGCAGTGGCGACCGTACTTCTGCTTCGCAAAGCCCATCGATGGCAGTTTGATGGGAGGCGTGCCTGGAACGCTTGTTTACCCATGCTTATGGGTTGGCTATCATCAGTGGCAGTCATTCAATCCGTGGTGCGCCGGCTGGTGTTTGTCGAGTCAGAAGTTCCGCCTGCTCGCGAAGTGCGAAAGGGACGGCCTGTGCCGGAAAGCAACAACCTTTCCGTGGTATACCTTGACTCCTTTGATGAGTTGCGCAAGCTGGACAAGGCGTGCGCTGCTGCCTCTGAGGGTCACATGTCGGAACGTCATCGAGCTTTTTTGCAGACATGCCGCAGCTTGGGTCTTGCCTTGAACCTCGCAAAGCAGTGCGTCGGCGCTGTGCGGGGCACCCTGCAAGGTGGCGAGCTTGACTGCCGCCGGGGAACTTTCGGGGTGGCCAAGGACAAGCAGCACAAGTACATTGGCTTGAGCCTGGCTCTTCTTGCGGCGCAGACTGTCACGGAGCACGATTTGCGCCATTGGGCGGGGAAGATGGCTTTCGGCTGCGCGTTCAGGCGGCCGCTGTTTGCAGTGATGCAAGAGGTGTACCTGGAGATAGAGCGACTGAGACATGCGCAAGGCGTTCTCAGCTGTAAGGCGGTGGATGAAGTTTTCGTTCTGGCGGTGCTCACGCCGATGATGTTCACCAACTTGCGTGCTCGAATGGATACACAGGTCATTTGCTCAGATGCTTCGCCAACGGAAGGAGGAAATGCACTGCTGAGACCTTCAAGCGTACCCCTGACACGTGGCAGGGTGGCAGTTTTGACAGGTGTCACAATTGCAATCAGGAGTGGAGTGCTTGGGGAGCCTTTCCATGCCCGTCTCGATGCGGCGCAGTAGTTTGCTGCCTTCTTTGTGCGCAAGCGCACCGGGGTGTGGCCTGCCCCAGGAACAGCTACGCCATGCCAAAATTTGGCGAAAGATGGGCTGGAAGGCGCGCCATGCTGTCGCGGGCATTGAAGTGCAGATGCCTTATGATTGGCACTGGGGGTATGATTTTTTTACGGAGGCTGGAAAACAGGTGCTGGCCGATCTGGAAGAGGACCCAGCCTTGAAGGCGGAGCACCATGCGCCGGAACACATGTACCTGTTGAAGCAGCAAGCTTCGACCAGCCAGCCAGTGCGAGCCAAGGGCACATCATGGGAGTTCCTTGGCTCGGCGCCAACATGAAGGCCCGCGTACGGAGAGCAAACGCCATGGCCAGCCGGTCCCTCAAGCGCGGCATGGATGCAATGGAACAGGACAGAGTGTTCAGCCTAGAGCACCCGTGGGGATCGTGGCTGTGGGACTTCTCGGCGGCAAAGACTCTGGGAGGGCCCACGCGCTTACAGCGCCTGTGGTTCTTTTTGCTGTTTTGGCGGAGATCTTGAAAGCTGGTACGGCTTGGTGACTACTTCGGATCGGCTGGCTTCAACGCTAGATCGCCCACGATGTCTGGGCCACCAGACACGTTCCGCTGAAGAACCACAGCTTGAGTACCCGTGGCAGTGGTGCCAGGCTTTTGCCAGGGCATTGTCAATGGAGTTTGAGAAGAGGGGCTGGACTGAGGATGCGCTGCGCAGCGGTCGTATCTTGTGGATTGCGGCAGAGCTTGGAAAATCCACTGCCCGACTGCAAGACAACACTGTCACAGAACCTGTGGCGCGCCGAGTTTGGTGCCTGGAGCTTGGCATGATGCCGGGCAACGAAGCGCAGCATTTAGCTGCTATGCTTAGAAGCACTTCGCACCGGGGCACAGAGGTGCTCCTGCTTGCCACTGCAGAGGACAACAGTTTGCAAGTTACCCCTTACCCGGCATACCGGTGGCTGTGGCGACGGCAAATGGCTTGGAAATGGCGTCATGAGGCGCACATCAACGAGCTTGAGCTGATTGCAGATGTCACTGCCGCCAAGCGCCGCTTGCAACATTTCGACAAGTTTCACACACGTTATTTGCATGACCTGGATTCATTTGTTTCAACCAAAGCAATTGCTAAAGGAAGATCGCCAAGCAGACGCATCAACACGCAGCTACGCAAGCTCATGGTCATCTCTGCGGGAGCCGACATTTATCAGTTGCCCGTATGGACCATCAGTCGGTGGAACTTTGCCGATGCCGCGTCAAGAGAATAGCAAGGCCTCGAGAAAAAGGATTTGAAGTTTGTTGGCTTGGCAGATCGGACCTTGAAGCTTTACCAGCGTGAATAGGATGCGTTTTGGCGATTTTCTCGGTTTTCACCTAATTCACACATTAACTGGCAGCTTGTGGACTCCGAATTGGGCGAATTCTTGAACACTTCGTTTAATGAAGGGGATCACATTTCGAATGCTGGATATTTGCTCAGCGCGTTGAAACGCTTTTACCCGGAATGCCGGTGGCAAATTCCTATTGCTACACAATACTTCAAGAATTGGCAGAGGGTGTACAAACCAAGCAGAGCTTTGCCTATCGGCCTGCCGCTCGCCCAAGCGCTGGCGGGGATGGCTGCCCGTGTTGGGCGGTGGGATTTGGCAGGTCTGATTTTGGTCGGGTTCACTTGCCTGCTTCGGACCCATGAACTGCTCAGTTTGACTTCCTCCAGTTTTACCTTTCACCCTGATGGTTCGTTTTTCTCTGTGGGACTTCCCTCCTCCAAAGCAAGCAAAGGAAATGCTGAAGTTGTGTCTTTTTCTGACCCTATCTTTGTGCAAGTGGTGAAGCATGCCTTGCAGCGCACAACCGGCAACTTTCTGTACTCCTTCGCCCCGAAGAGGTTCAGATTTGAGTTTCAATCTTTGCTGAAGGTTTTTGATTTGCAGGGTTCTTACCAGCCCTACGGGCTTCGCCGCGGGGGAGCCACGTGGTTTTTCTTGCAAACTCGTAGCATGGATGCTACTATTCACACAGGCCGCTGGCAGTCTGTCAAAGTCGCTAGGCAGTACATTGATGATGGGGTTTTGACCTTGTCTAACTTGTTGCTGACCTCCTCCCAGCAAAAGAGACTCGCTCGCGCGCGTGCGTTTTGGGCAACCTGCTTCGCAAGACGGCGGCACTTTGATGCCTGGTGATGGGGGGTGCCTTTGAGTGGGCAATGTGCAAGTGGTTCCTAAACCTGGGGGCTCTTAAGCCTGCGCTCTTGAGCTACTTACCGGGGGATCCCCGTGCCTGGCGTTTGTTAGCACTATCCCATAGAATGCGCAAGTCCTGACTTGCTTGGCACATTGAGCTGCTTTGTGGTGTGGTGGCGTGTAAAAGCGCTAACAGAGCATGGCCTTGTGCTGCAAATATATACACATACACGTGTTATATATATATATATACATATACATAAATATATATATATATACACATACATACATGTATATATATATAGGGGTATATATATATGTATATATATATATATACACCCCTATATATATATGTACACAACTCGTTTTTGAGGGACACAGTTTTCGCCGTGTTTCATCTTTGTTTTTGCGTTCAATTATTTCTTCTTTTTCGATTTTGCAAAGGCCCGAATACATGTGTGTGTGTGTGTGTGTGTGTGTGCGTGCGTGCGTGCGTGTGTGTGTGTGTGTGTGTGTGTGGGTGTGTGTGTGTGTGTTTTGAGGCTCAGCAACCAGAGTCAACACCCTTATTTTTTGGGTTTTCGACTTTGACACAATGATCAAACACCAAGGGTCGCTTGGTCTTCTTTTCCAGGGCCAAGTTTCTAACCTTGTGACGGGGCAATATGAAAGCACCCCGTTTGGAAGGATCCACGCATTGGGATTTCTTGATTCAGAGACAGATCATGGTTTCGGGTGTCCAGAATAGTGTTTCCAGAGTTTGTTTTGGCCGTGTAAGCAAATCCGTGCAATGTGTAGCGGCAGCAGGTGGCAAGCCAGTCCGGCAAAATGCAAGGTTCGGAATGTTGATCCCGCATTCTTAGCCAAACTGGTGGATGCTACCCAGGGTTTCCATTAACTCTACCCCGAGCGGAACTTCGCTTCCCAAGTACGCACTGGACAGATTGAGCCATCATCCACGCCTTTGGTTTCCTTGTGAACATTTGAGCAACATGGCGCCCGGAATGGTACCTTAATTATACTCAGAGGCCCTTCTTTGATACCAAAGCGGGATGCCCGACCCCGTACCTACTTTATGACTTAAACGGGGGGCCATCCTGGATTCACAGAAATAGGCCAGAGAAAGAATCCCCAGCCCACCTGGGCCTCATTCACGGAAAATTGATGTCTCCTCAGAGAAGATCTTATACTTTAAGGTTGACCAAGTGTGGGCCGGAATCTGAAAAGTATGATTTTGGTGAGTTGGGCCAAGAACACCGAAGCATGGCTGTTGAAAGAGTGTTAAAAACATGTTTAGCCTGGTTCGATCGCCTGGTGCTGGGCGTCGAGGCGAAGAGTGCAACTTTTTGCTTTTGGTCGCGTTTCACACGTGCAGGAATCCCTTTTTCGCATATTGATTCTCGGCCACACGCGTTCTTGTGTGCGTGTGCTTCCTGGGGGGGAATGTCTGACTCAAGGGGTAGAACCAAGGTCCCTTCTCCCCATTTGTAGAAAGACCACCTCACCAAATTGGGCCAATTTGTGTTTGTGCAAGAATCTTGAGTGGCATGATGCTAGGGGAAATATGCGGAAAGGGCACGGGCTTGTCTTTGCAGTTGCTTGCTTTCTCCTGGAATTTGAACGGGACCCCAGATGTGGACACGACTCAAGTGATCACAAGCACATCGCTTTCATTGTGATTCGATGAAGGCTTGTATGGCCTGGCACCGCGACCTGCTCCCCACACCGAGGTAAGGTAAGGTAAGGTGGTCCAAAGACAACTGAGTCTTCCCCCAATGGGACGAAAACAGTTGAATTCAAGCCAGACAACAAGCTAGGCTTGTTGGCTGAAACTTGACGTGCCAGCGGCGACAGCACGGGTCTTTCACCGGCACCGCATGCTTGGCATGGTTCTGTCAATTTCTGCGACTTGTGTTCGTTTGAGCGACATGTGTGAAAAATTGCCTTGGGGCATGTTGGTACCATGCGAAATTTGCCCCAACCCGGACTTTGTTGTTATGTGGGTCCGCTTCAGCATAAATGCGAGTTTCTCGAAATGGGGGACCTGCTTGTGGTTGGTACTTAAAGGGAAACCAACAGAAAACCAACTATTTTAGGGGACCTCTATGCTGAGAAACACCCCAATAGTTGCTGCGCGCACCAGTTTTGCCCTTCCCCAAATCACTCCCATCCAGTGGCGGGCCTTCGGAGTAAAAATCAAGGTAATTTGGGAAGCATGAGCGGCGGACCGATGCGCCGATGTGGGGAAATGCACCATTTCCGTGCTCCTGGAAATCTGCTCTCCATTCTCACCCTCCCCGTTCCCCGAGTCTTTTTGGAGGGTTTTGCTTTCCAGGGTGTTGCATTCCTGGATCCCTGCTCCTAATTCTCACCCTCCCCCCTCCCAGTTTCTGAGTTCGGTTCTTTATGATGAGGCCTGTCGGCTTTCTACTTGGCCAGCGACCTCCACTGCAAGCGCAAGATCTGCACCTGCCCCAGCGGCACTGGTGTTGCGGCAGAGGGCGCCGACTGCCCCACCCACGTGGCTCAGCCGTTTGTGGGTGGTGGCGGGGGGGGGGGCTGGGTTCTCTAAGGGAATATCGAACCACAAGCTTGGAGCAACCACCACTTAAACAAGGAGGTTAGCGCGATCCTGGTGAGGTTGGGCGCAGTGTCACTCAAATGGGGTGTCATTAATTGTTCAATGTTGGGTTTCAGTGAGATCGGTCGGGGTTGATGGGGGTTGGTTTGGGCATGTTTCATGACTCAGGACACTCGCCCCAACGGCGCATTGCACCCCCGTCTGTTCAGACTGTCCGATGCAACAGGTGGCTCCATGGACTCTCGGGTCCTTTGGGCTGAGGCCAGAAGTATGCAATTCTGTCCAGCTTCCAAGTTCCAGGGTTCCAGCAATATTTCCCCGTTTTAAGCTTCAGACACCTGGAAAGGCCGATTCAAGGAGACTTTCATTTTGGGGGGATTTTGACCTGCGAATATGGCTGGAACCCAGTTCCGACCATTTCCATCAAAATGCCGCAAGTGCCTTTGGGGCCACGCATGTACTGGTCTCAGTGGTAGGGCACCAGGGTGAAAACGCAAAAACAAGACAGGGCCAAACCACAACGGTTGGGCAGCACATACTTTCCGTGGCCCAAAAGCAGAGTTTAGGCGGCTTGTCCTTGTGAAGCCTGCGACGCCTGCCGCACTTGAATACCATGGTGACTTTGGCAACTCCTCCCCAGCTTATCTAAGTGATGGGCACTCCGGGCGCTATCGTGATGGAATGTAACTGGGACCCTGGGAGGTTGACGTCATGTCGGGGATTCGTCGAACGTTTGGCAGGCAAAACGACCCAAAACCAATCGGGTCTCTTGGCTAAGAGACATGCGTAGCAGTACAAGTACAGGGATCGTGTGTTCCAGGGCTCATTTTGGAGTGCAAAGTCAATACGTTCATCCTGAGGCAGATTCGAAAGTCTACTGCCACCATTCTTGTGTTTCGTCAAGCTGGCCCAGCCACCACTGTGATCAGGTTCGCTTTGGCTGCTGTCTTTGGCACAACCACTGTTCAGCCACTACATGTAGCTCATGTAGCCCGAACTCCGTTAGCCTTTTTTGTGCGGCACGCCCGCATTCCCTCCCCCACGTCGCCCGGATTGGGTGGCCCCCTAGTAGACATGACCAGAATGAGGTTAGAATGCCCTTAGGTCCGAAGTGTCCCCACCAGTGCACCCACGCTCCCTTGCCTCCAAAGTGTCCCTTGCCCCCCCCACCCCCCTCCCCCCCGCTCCCCCCCCCACTCCCCGGAATTTGTGCCGAGGACACGTTGCACTGCGCCAGCTGCACCACTGCAGGGGGCTACGTGATGGACATTGACGGGAAGACCTGCATCGAGAAGCTGTGTGCCCCGGCCATGCTCTCTGAGCCAAAAAAACTGTTCAACTTTGGGGGAAGGCTTACTGGCTGGTTTTTGGTTGCATGGATCACAAATGAGGAATTTGTTATCCATCTTACCACGAAACGAGCACAAGCAAAGCAAGGTGTACTAAACCAAAGGCGAAGACAAACTCGGACTTCTATTTTGAGAGCTGCGTGCCCAGTCAGCGTTATCTGCGCAAATGATGACGAGCTCAGCGATATGGGGAGCAAGACAAGAGGTTTTGGATGAAGGATTTACTTTGAAGTTGCCTTGTTAGGTTCGAGAATTGCAGTCAGCATTTGCGCTGATGGTATATGATGTTTGGTCCAAATGTCCAGTAGCCAAAGGACAATTTGGGCCTTACCAAGTTTCTTTGGAGTGGCTGACTTTTCCAGAAACAGCAGGGATTTCAGTTGTTCCCATGTCCTTTTGCAAGAATCGTATATGTTGATGCGTTGCCCGTGTGACCTTAGGTTGAGGGTCCTTTTTTGAGAAAGAGAGGAAGCCGCCGCCCCAAGCAAAATAGCAATTGGAATATATTTTGAATGAGCCCTGCAAATCGCATGTTTCCATCAGGAAACACTATCTTCAGGTGAGGGACCACCACCCCCCACCATTTTGTGAGACGTTATGAATATGAATCACACATCCCAAGAGACGTGGAGCGTGCAGGCCAACCGCCCCGGTGGATTTCCGAGGCACCTGCGACGCGGGCACCGGCACGGCGGCCAAGGGCGTTGACTGCCCCACCCACAAGTCCGGGTGCCTTGGGCTGTCGAAGGGCTGCAAGTGTCAAAACGGGGTCTGCGTGCCCACAGTATGGAGAGAGACCTCATGCGGTGATCTGAAACTAGACCATTTGACAGAGTTGTTCCCTACTTGAAGCCTACTTTGAATATTCAGGGAGTCAACCATCAATCGCTCTGGTAAGCAGACTACATTTCCTGTTTCGGGTCGAGGAAGTGCCAGACCTGCGCGGACGGGTACATCTTCAAGGCTGACGGCCTGAGCTGCAAGCAGAAGCAATGTGCCGTGGCCAACTCGAACAACCGACTGACGACGGACCGAACGACGACGGACCAAACGAAGGCGGTCAAATAGACCCTAAGTGTCCATCACTATGAAAGAGGAGGGGGGACCAGACCCATTTATTTGTTGTCTCCAGCCAGGTTGCATGGCCAGCCTGTTCTCCCACTGAGAAGGCCCAGGGTTGGGCAGAAAATGTTTAAACAGGCAGACCCCAGCCCCCTTTAAATGAGAACCCAAAGGAGTTTGTTGAAACAGGGACAAACCACCAGGCCCGACTAATTCGTGGCGATTGTCCATCCACGTCACAGGTCACCAGCTTTCCCAAGTGGCGGAAAAGCAACGCCTGCCGCAAACCCTCTAAACTCGGTAATTTTCACTGGCTCTTCTTTTCGACCCTTGTGCAAGCGATCCCACGATGGGCCACTAAGGGTTGATTCCCCATTCTCTTAACCCATCGTTCTCTGCAGAAGCCACCAAGCTTCCTAGGGTGGTTTTACTACTTGTCTGAAGTGCCCGAACATCACTCCTAAGGAGAGACTTGAGGGCCTCCCTTCCCACTAGAGAGGTTCTCCAAACGCTCCAAGAACCACTAAGACGGATCCTTTGAAACCTTTCCCGCTGGGGGCACCCTTGATTTCTCCTCCCTGGCAACCCAGGATTGCTGGGTCTCTCTCTCTCCCTCTCTCTCGCATCAGAGGTAAGCTGCTCGCAGCACCTGATTCCCGGGTGTCCCAAAAAGAAAAATCCTCACTTTTGGGCGGAACACCCGCCAATCTTGAAGGGAGGAGCCTGGCGGCCGGGTCGAGAACCGAGAACCGAGGCACCTGCCTGCTGAACGGCAAGCGCGCGGGCGAGGGCGCCAGTGGCACCTCGGGGGAGTCTTTAGGGGTCCGTTCAAGAGGCCGTCTTTGGGGATTGGTTAAGTATGAAGTTTAGTTGGGGACCCTTTGAAGGACATCATTTGGGTTGGGGTTCATGTCCTGCAGCCACTTTGGAGGTGGTCCCCTATTAAAACCCAAGTATCCGCCAACCTTTTTGTAGCGCGATTCCAGGGTGTCGCTTCACTCTGTCCGTCCTTTTTTGGTTTGAGCTTGCGCAGTTGTAGCGCGGGGTGTCTAATTCAAAAAGTAATGAGGATCACCTTGGGGGAAACGCCGAAAGACATCCAGCAGTCTGAATGCAGAGTCGACAATTCGTTGGGCAGTCTGAGTTCCATATGTACCTGCAATGCAACCAAGGCTGCTAGGGGTTGAGTGTTTTGTCCGCTAATGCGACTGCACTCCGCGTATTGCATTTTGATAGCGTGACAAGGCTACGAACTTTTGGCCCTGGAGATAAATCAGATCCTTCCAGATGGATGGGGGTATTTCAAAGATCCAGGGGCCTCCCCTTTTGGATGGTTTTTGAGTGTTTGATCAAAGGGACAATGAAAGCTGCCCACCCACTTTTGGGGATTCCGAGATTGGACACCCCGATCCTTCAAAATCGAAGCCAAGAACTTGGATTGCTTCGACCCGGAAGAATCTTCAAACCCCTTAGCATACCCCAAAGCTCCCGGAGGATTCCTTTCCTTTTCACTGGTGTTGAATATAGTGCAGGGGGCTGCCATGCCAAGGGTTGGAAAGTCATATTCCGCTCAAAAGGTATGGAGGGTTCTTGGACCCAAAGACAAAGGCCCTTAATTCTGGGGACCCGTGTTGGGGCTCCCAAAAGTGGGTTGTGATCGCTTGCCAGTCATGTGCGGCGCGTCCGAAGGGGAACCCATTTGTTCGAATATAGTCAACGGGTCACCCAATGTATGAGGCCTTATTAGTTTGCGAAATAGAGAGTGAAGGTTTGGGAGGATGGATCGTACGAAGGTCACCGAACCAAGAATTCGGATTGCAGATGTGGGACTTCTGACAGCTCAGGCACGACTTGCGACACTGATGGCATGATGCCGGGCTGCAAATCAGTGGGGCTGTTGGTGCTGTAGTTGGCAGCCTCCAAGAGTGTATGGCAGAGTGCGTGGGAGAGGGAGAATGAGATTCTTCCAAAATGCACGTGTTGATGGGTTTGAGCATAATCTGCCTTCGAACAATACGGGTCGTTCCTCGAATCGCAACGAAACATGAGTTTTCTCAAGTTGGCTTTCAATCATGCAAAAGGGGTCCGTAGCCCGGTACAGACCCACTTATCATTACCAGAATTGAAATTACCCTATGGTCGACTATAAAGGCTATCCCAGTGGACATGTTCCGTATCCAATTTGCCTATTTTGTGGCAAGCCGACCGATAGGTAAAACGAGCTCACCATGTTTGCAGTTCCTTAATTTGAGGATCCATTTCTTATTTCAGATCTTGGGGTAATTGCGACTTTACAGATTCTTGCATGGTCAACCCACTCAGTAAGTAGGTAGCAACTAACTAAGGAAACCAATCCCAGTTGCCCCAGGTATAGGCGTGGTTCAACCTACTTACTATGTATAAGTGGGCTGCCGAACCAAGCCGTCCATCAAATCCAAGTTGTAAAAGATCTTCAGATCCGCATGGGCAAGTCTCGTGAGGAACAAGTGCGCGAGCTGCGACGACGCGGCCGGCTACGTCATGGACGCCGCCAGCGACCTCTGCGCCGCTGGGAAAAGCAACAGCTGTCCATTTGCGCGAGTTTGACCCCCCAGTTCTCCATGGCTGGTTCACTTCGAAGTCATTCGCTCGGTTTTGCTGAGAACCAGCCAGACGGACAGTCGCACGGACCGTAGTGGTTGATCCAAATGTTCATGCAATAGTGGACGGGCGCAGGGTCCAAACTTTTATAATGGGCCAGCCGGTCAGGGATGGACTGAAGGTACTGCCTGTGCACCTTGGACTGATTTGGAATTGAAACAACACCAAAGCCTGGGATGTTGATGAGAGTGGGAGATCTTTTCAGCGTTTTGCTCTTCTTCTTTTTTCTTCTTTTTTTTTGTGGGGGGGGGGGAAAGGACTCCTTTCATACAGGGCTTTGGGTGGGACTTATCAAACACGGAAAGTAGTTTCAGTTTGGATAGACAGATAATATGGGAGATTTACTTTTAAGGGAACCCGGGCTCCAAACAGTACTGTATTCTAGAGTAGTCTAAACATGAAACAGGATCTGCATATTTTTTTTCTGCGTACCTAGGACATACATAATTTACGGTTTGAAGGGGGCCTCGTCCTTGTTAAAGACGGGACTGCTGTGTAATAGACAGGTTCCAGCCAGTCAATCTAACCAGGGGGTTGCCCAACCCTCATGCCCCTCAACATAGGGTACAATGCCCCACACAACCAGGTACGAACTGTACAATGGAACCCCCACCCCCGCACCCGACAAACAAAAGGCAAAAAGCAACAAGCATTTCCCGCCGTTTTTATTTCGCAATCGAAGTCCCCCCCCAAAAAAAAGAGAGCGTGGAAACCTGGTCAAACCCTGGTGGAACCCTGGTGGACCCTGGTGGATGGAATCCGCGTGGAACCTTGCCTCAGGGCTGCCCCGGACCACCCCGGAGCGTATCTGGGCTGAGACCCCAAAGCTTTCAGCTGTTGGGGGACAAAAACAATCAAACAAACGCACACAAACAAACAACACGCCTTGTGGTGGAAAGCACCGCACATCGAGCGAACTCTGCCGAGATCGTGAAGCAGTGCACCTGCACTGCCGGCACCGGCACCGCTGCCTCGGGGGCCGCTTGCGACACCCATCAGGCAATGGGTCCGGGGGTCGGGTCGGCAGGCTGGAACTTGGTGCGCCCCGTGGTTTCTGGGGTTTCCTCCGACAGAATCTTATGTCCTGAGGATGTTTAGGTGTCCTTTGAAAGGGTCAGTGTGGTTGAAGCAAACAGTTTCATTTGCGTTCCAATCAATTACCAATGCCACCCTTTCTTCCTGGAGGGGCGCATGTTGCGCCAGGTTGTTGGGCAGATGAGGGGGGTGTGGCAAGATGTGTTTTTAGTTTCTGGAGGGGTTGGGTGAGGTTTTTGCAGGAGCTGAGTAGATGTGGTGCGTGTACAGTTTTCATGTTTGTTCGCCGGGTAGTTGAAGAAAGCAGGTTGTGTGTGTGTGGTGGTCCGTTGTGCAGGGCCCAAACTCCTCCACCCATTTAGTGCAGGACCTGGAGTCTTCACTTAGGGTTCTGCTCCGATTGCGTTGAATCGAAGGCTCTAAACGCTGGAAGGTCAGGGTAGAGCCACAGGTCAATGATTTTCGGCGCTGCTCATGTGGGCGTTTCCAAACACAAGAGACCCCTGACCAGCTGGTTGCTTTGCGTTTGTTTCCCTTTCAACCACCGCAAAGAGGGTCCATTTTCAACTTGTTTGACATCTCTATATGCATCATGGCTAAATGACCCCTTTACTCGGTGCTGGTAAGGATGCTCATCAACCTGTGGAGGGGTTTCAGACATCAACGTAAGTTTTTCATTTGGAAGCCATGACTATGACCCACATTGGTTTGTCTCAATGTCCAAAGGCGTGGATTCCCTTCAGTTTCTTTTTCAACCGACACGCCCACAAAAGGTTTAACAGATACACCAGTCGTGGCAACTAGAGAACAACCCAAATGCCATGGTACACTGGTACTTCCTTTTGGTTTCCCTTTTTTAAACCAGCACTAAAGATGTTCCCTCAAAAACACACCCACTTTGTTCCCCCAAGGCTTGCCCGAATCGGGACCCCCAAGCCGACTTGCTCTTGCAAGCCATGTCCAGGCCGTGAAATGCGCCAGCTGCGACACTGGCGCTGGCTTCAAGATGGCCGATGACGGCCGCACCTGCATCTGCGATTCCGGCAGAGGCGCGCTGAGCAGAAATTCGCGCCAAAGGGGGGGGTGAACCTGTACTTTTGTTTGCGCAGAAACACCGTGGAGTCCTTACCAATGCCGCGGTAGTAGAGAGTAGAACCCTTCAATACAGGCCTGGAGTCTTCATGACACTGAAGCACGGTTTTTACTCGACCAGGTACTTTATTGGACAAATGCATGGGCCGTCTGGTATCTAAGGATTTGTATCACATCCTGAGATTCTTCCCTGAAAAAAGGACTCAAACATAGTCAACCCAAAGTTTTCTTTACGCCTGGCTTCGTGCTTGTGGTTGGCCGTTCGCTTGAGTGAGGCTACGAGTCGGCCGCGGGAAACACATGTGTCTTCAAGAAGTGCACCTGCTCCAACGGCAAGCTGCGCCACGGCACGCTGCGGGAGTTGGGCGGCAGAAAAGTCCGGTTCCAAGCCCAACAGTGCCGGTTGCAAGGTGCCCCAAATGATGCTAAGATTGACTACTGCCTATCCATGTTTTCTTTCAATACTGAACACATATGCTATATTGTACTTGTATGTCCTTTTTGAACCAACACATACTGATTGAGCTTATTATGATATATATATATATATGGTACCCCCCCCAGTACCCAGGTGTTGTTGCATCATGTATCAAAACCATTGATATTTACAATATATTTTTTAATTAAACTCATGCATTTTCTGCAAGGCCATTTTGTGGACCAAAAAAACCAAAAAAGCAAAAAACCAAAAGCAAAAAAAAACAAAACAAAAAAAAAAAAACAATCCTAGCCCCCACCATGGCTGGGATTCTTTGGTTTTTTGTTTGTTTGGTTTTTTGGTCCAGGGAAATGTTGCGCAACAAATTCCAGATGTTGCGCAACATTTGCGGAGCATGATGAGAGGACATGTGAACCTTTGTGAAAGAAGGCATGTTCTGGGTGAGAGGATATGTGAATTTTCTGTAGAGAAGAGTCATTGAAAAAGACATGATTTGTGTGAGATGATATGTGAGTCTTTGTGGAAGAGTCAGGGTTACAGTGATTCATAAAAGTACGGCAACAGACAGTAAATATCATGTAAGACCACCATTTATGTAGCACAAACTGTCCCAGCCATAGCCTGGTTTTATTCTACACAGGGTTCACTTTCCTTGGCAACTCTTTCACATATGCTGCCTTTGTTTCATTGAAAGAAGACATGTAACAAGACGTGTGTCGGGTGAGAGGATGTGTGTATTTTCTGTGGAAGAGTCTTTGAAACAAGGCATGGTTTGTGTGGGAAGATATGTGAATTATCTGTGGAAGAGCCTTTGAAAGGCATGGTTTGTGTGGGAAGATATGTGAATTGAATTTTGTGTGGCAGAGCCATTGAGAAAGGGCATGGGTTTGGTGAGAGGATATGTGATTCCTTGTGAAAGAAGGCATGCAAAAAGACATGGTTTGGGTGAGAGGATGAAAGAATTGTCTGTAGAGAAGAGTTATTGAAAAGACATGCTTTGTGTAAGATTATATGTGAATATTCTGTGGAAGAGTCTTTGAAAGAAGGCATGGTTTGTGTGGGAAGATATGTGAGTTTTCTTCTGCGGAAGAACCTTTGAAAAAAGGCATGTTTTGGTGAGAGGATATGTGAACCTTTGTGATGAGAGGATATGTGAATTTTCTGTAGACAAGAGTTATTGAAAAGACATGCTTTGTGTGAGAGATGATATGTGAGTCTTTGTAGAAGAGTCAGGGTTACAGTGATTCATAAAAGTACAGCAAAAGACAGTAAATATCATGTAAAACCACCATTTATGTACACAAACTGTCCCAGCCATAGCCTGGCTTTATTTTACACAGGGTTCACTTTCCTTAGCAACTCTTTCACATATGCTGCCTTTGTTTCATTGAAACAAGACATGTAAAAAGACATGCGTTGGGTGAGAGGATGTGTGAATTTTCTGTGGAAGAGTCTTTGAAACAAGGCATGGTTTGTGTGGGAAGATATGTGAGTTATTTGTGGAAGGCCTTTGAAAGAAGGCATGGTTTGTGTGGGAAGATATGTGAATTGAATTTTGTGTGGAAGAGCCATTGAAAATGGGCATGGGTCACGTCAAAAGGGTCTTTCTTCAATGAGGCAAACCTCCTTCCTCTGGTCTCCCAGTGTGCAAATCTGAGCTGTTCTTCCTGCCTGCTTCCGCGGTCAAAGCACATCTGAACCAAGCCCAAACCTGGGTACCTGGGGGGGAGGGGTAGCATATATATATATATATAGGTTCCAGGCTGTGGGTTGGGTGGGAGGTTTGGGTTTGTTTAGGGTTGGTTTGAGGTGGGTATAGGGTTGGTTTAGGGTTGGCTTGGGGTTGGTTTGGGGTGGGTTCGGGTGGGTTTGGGGTTGGCTTAGGGCTGGGTTTAGGGTTGGTTTTGGCCATCGATTTCTGCCTGACGGCCGACCGGTAGCCTACCCGTGAAGGTCCTTTGCTGGCACTTCGTTTGGGTATCATGGACGTTGGAGGCACAAAGAACACCTAGAACTTTTCGTTTAGGCACAGCCCGAACCATGACTAGGCGCGGCCGCCATGGAATTCTTTACATGGTCTTGGGTAGACCACTTTGCCACCCAGTTGCCCAGATTTCCGGACCGTGGATCTGAGGGCACAGGGCACCGACTGCCCCTCCAATGGCAACGCCAAGTGCATGTCCTGCGATGCAGGCGCGAGGAATGCGCGCGGGGTTGACGTGTTTCGGTTGCTCGAGCTGTTCTGAACTCAAGGTGCGGGAGTTTCATGTGGAAGTGGTGAGTTGAAGAACGCATCGCCCGCGTTGTGCGCGCAATTGAGCTCTCATCAGGCTTCTAATGATACAAGTTGCACGGGCAGACGTCAAGGCTGGCGGCTGGTGAAAGGAAGGATGCTTGTCAGGTTTGTTTTGCTGGTCATCAAGCTGCATACGTTTGGGCGTTGGTTGTGAACATTGCTGGATGATGCTCTAGGCTCTCCCGAACTCCAACCTATTTGCTGTTTCTATTCGCGACCACGCTCGTTTGCGGAAGGGTACCATCATTTCACATGACAGGGTTCAAATTGGAATGTGTTGAGTTCATACCATTCGACCAACCCAGTGATTCTAGGCAAACCAACGTTTGGCAGTAAACGAACTTCTTGCTTGCCTTTGCGCCCCTTTTTACTTCTTAGTGTTTTTCTACATGCCTAACCTTAAAGCGCTGGCCAGCACCCCAAAAACGCCAGGTTTCACTTCTCTCGGACACACCTCTGAGAAGCTGAATTTTCAAAAGCTACTCGTGGCTCCCGCAGGCTTCCGCCTGGAGAAGGACCAATGCCTTCAGAACCTCTGCACCTGCAACCACGGCACCGCGGTGTCCGGCGCCTCCTGCGCCTCGAGCTCCGAACTCTCGAGACTCGAGTCGATCGGGGCTTCCGAAGCCGAAGTCGGACGCTCCGAACGGGAGGCCCGAAGTAGGTGAGTTGGCAGGTCGCCATTCGCCTCGGGATGTTTGCTCGTTCTTTTTTTGTTAACATATTTTCACACTGCGCGACGATGTCTGCAATTCGCTCGAAAACAAGTTGCTGGAAATGGGAGAGGATGGCAAGATTGCGAGTTCTGCCATTGCCACCAAAGTGTAGATCCCGAGCCCCGTGGCGTGGTACATCAGCGTGTTGTGTCTACGCTCACGCTGTAGCAAAGATGCAGGGCCCCGTATCTTTGGCCAACCAACAGCACTTGCGGCGGGATTTTGGCACGCGTGGGAAGCTCACACCCAACCTATTCCTCTTGCGATTGTGCCTCCAGGCGGGTCGTGAAAGCACGGTTAACACCGTGATGTTGACGGCATGTTGGGGACCGTGGCTTGTTTTGTCGAGCCGTTTAGTTTTGCGGCTTGCATTAGCAGCAACCGGCCACTACGAATCCACCGACAGTATGCCGGCTGGTTGCCCTAAACGTATTGGGACCTCCAAAAATACTGCTGAATGAGCACACCAGAATCAATCATGCCACTGTCCAGTTCCAGGGGCAAGTGCACGTAGGCAGCAAGTAGGAGATTCATTCCTCTAAGAATCGTCCAAGCCCCTTCCAGCCCTTTCCAATCAAGCAATAAGCAAAGGATGTTCTTGTTCGCTTGCGGCCAATGGGCAGGTGAGGTATGGTGAGGTCAAACTCATTCAGGCGACGTGCACCAGAAGCATGAGTGCGCTGCTTGCACCGATGCCAACTACGAGCTGATCAATGCGACCTCGGCACTGGTTAGGGGATGGGTCATTCGCACCATTCATGGAGGAAACCCACTTCGAACCAGTTGGCGGGTGGTTCGTCCCTGTACTCATAGACTTTCGCAAGGCCTGCCCCAATAAGTAAATGGTGGTCTTGCAGGAGGGGACAAGGGCCCCTGAGAAATCAGTCGGTTTGATGAATGTGGCATTCGGAAAAGAATGGGGGGGCTTCAGAGTTGAAGCTGTTCTAGGTCTGGTGGGCAGCGTGTTAGCAACATGCACTACTATCTATTTAGCCATCTATTGTAGGCGTCCGCGTCACCTCAGCAAATCTTAATGAGGCTATGCTCTAAGCTCCAGAAAGCCAAGAATGGTTGTTTTCCTTTTGGTTTCCCTTACCAACCCAAACAAGGTACTCCAAGAAGACCCACCCTATGCCGTAACTTCTGTCTCTCTCGCAGCTTGCCTTTGCCAGGGGCCTTTGGCGGACGGTTTCTGTGTGTCTGGCCTCTGATGTGTGTGGATGTGTGTCTCCGCATTGTATTACTTCAGCAAAGCGCCCGCCTAGTTGTAGCCCCTGAGCTGCCACTTGGAGGTGGCCATACTGCAGTATCACCGCTTCTTTGCTTGCTTTGTCAAGCGCATGGCGGTGTGAGCGTGGGTGCAAGTGTGTTCGGGTGAACAACTTGTGTTGTCCCATTGAGAATGGCAGAATTTCAGAAACGCATCAATGTGTTTAGAGCTTCCGACCCGTTTCTATTCAGTTGCTCAGAATGAAGGAAGGGGTTTCGTGTGATAGCCAGATAAATCAAAGCATCCATGATCAGCTTTCATTTTGGTACGTCAAAGAGGAATGCATTGCAAGGACATTCGTATGCGAGGCATTCAGCCCCTCCTTCAGTTCGTGCTCCGAGGGAGCGCCAGCGAAAGTTCGATGCGGAGCGGACATCGCTCTGTTGAAAGCGTTCCCGCTCATTTTTTTCGAGTTACGCCAGGGCAAGTGCGTCTACAAGATTTGCACCTGCGCCAACGGCGACAGGCAGGGCAGAAAGCAGATCGAATCCCTTGCCAGATATGGGACTTGGGAATAGGAACGGATTGCGTACCCCAGGAAGGCATGGAGGCAAGGTACACTCCCCTCAATAAGTAGCTCCAAACCCAACAGGGCCAGTGCCTTGGGGTCTGCATCCAAACACCAGGCAAATCTCTGCTTTTTTTAGGTTGGGTGGGGGGGGTGGGGGGGGTGGGGGGGGGGTGGGCTGTTTTGGGCAACCATAGAGACATGCAGTGGCACCCTTGCATTCGGGAACCTGGGACTTGTTTCCTTTGCCCCGGATCGGGAGCCACTAGCACGGATAGGTATTCTTTTTGTTTGTTCCAGACCCCATTTCCCATTTCTGCATCGGTTGTCCAAACTTACCTGCACATTTCCAGTGTTGTGCCGCTTTTCCACTACTTACTGTAACGACTAACCAAGCATGTGGTGTGTTTGCAGGGGAGCAATGCGCAGACTTTCTTTCAATGCCCCTGGGCCAACCGTAAACACACACGAACACACGGTGTGTGCATTGGCCACACAGTGCCTTTTGTGCTGCCTCTGCCTCTGTGCAAGCTTAAGCTTGGTCAAGACTTGGGGCCCTTCTTGAGGGGGGCATTCATTATAAGGAAGCCACGGGCAAGACTGGTTCCAAACCCCAACACCGTTTGAACACTTGACACAGCCAAGTGTTGTCAATGACTTGTTGACATCACACCAATGGCCACATCTCACCGGGTATGCAGAGACTACCCAGCAGGAAGGCGTTGTTTCAGGTGGATGGTTCACAATGATTCACTCAGACTCATGCAATTTGACAAGCCCTTGGACAAAAATTATCTAAATCAAGTCGCTGAATCACAATCATGAGCAATCAGAATATGGATCACCCAAGCACATGACGTCATTCAACAAGTAGTGAACCACTTGGATCTAGGTTGCTTGAGAAACACCACCGGCGCGGGCTATCCCGCACGCACCACGTGGCGAGGGCCGAGGGAAGCGCCTGCCCGAACCACGGGGCCAAGAAGTGCGCCAAGTGCGATGGAGGCAGAGGGAGTTCAATGTGGGCCTGCCTCAAAATGGGACACCCCGAACAATTGCCGAAAAATTGGGGGGAGAGTCGGGGAGAGAGGTGGGAGGTTCAATTGGTTTTCTTTAGGAACACACCTAAAAAAGGGCACCCTCCAAGCAAGACACGCCCATGTTTGTTGGCGCGTTGTGTCCCAAATCTTGGAACCTGGAAACGTCAAATTGGAGGTGTTCAAAGTATCCTTTAGGAGAGAAGATTTGGGAAGCAGCTCTGGCCAAGCACGTGTCGTTTCATTCAGTTATTGCTCTTTGCTAAGATTATCATTGTCGCCGCTAGCGTTGACATGGTTACAGTTGCAGTAGTCGTGGTGCTGGTCCTCATTCTCCTCCTCCTTCTCCTCCTCCTTCTCCTCCTCCTTCTCTTCCTCCTCCTCCTCCTCCTCCTCCTCCTTCTTATTCACATGTGGTCATCGTCGTGCCGGTCATCGTCATCGTCGTGCTGGTCATCGTCATCGTCGTTGTTATCAGGGTTTCCTACAACATACATACACACATACACACACACACACATACATACATACATACATACATACATACTTACTTACATACATACATACATACATACATACATACATACATACATACATACATACACATACATACATACATACATACATACATACATACATACATACATACATACATACATACATACATACATACATACATACATACATACATACATACATACATACATACATACATACATACATACATACATACATACATACATACATACATACATACATACATACATACATACATACATACATACATACATACATACATACATACATACATACATACATACATACATACATACATACATACATACATACATACATACATACATACATACATACGTACATACGTACATACGTACATACGTACATAGGTACATAGGTACATAGGTACATACGTACATACGTACATACGTACATACGTACATACGCACGTACGTACATACGTACATACGTACATACGTACACACGTACATACGTACATACGTACATACATATACCTGTATATATATATATATATATATATAAATAAATATATCTGGACTCCAATGTTTGTCCACTTTTCCTTCAGACCATCCGGCTCCGGATTTCCCGCCATTGCCTGGACCCATTAGAGCGAATCCCTCAACATCACCCTCCAAACGGTGGTTCAAAGGAATCCCCACCGGGACACAACATGTTCACCCCCCTCCCAAAAGAAAAACGAGAGAGGAAAGAATCAATCAACGCCAGGGCAAATTGTCAGCCACGACCCCCCCCAAACCCTTTCCCCGGAATGCGACCACTTCAAGGCCCTCGGCTTTCCGCGTCCAGGCTTCCGCCTGGGCGCGGGCAGCACCAGCTGCCTGCAGAACGTCTGCAGCTGCGCCAACGGCAACGCCGCCACGGGCGCCAGCTGCGACGTCCACGACGCGCACAAGTGCGCCAGCTGCAAGGACCGGCACGGATCACACAAAGGGCACGGCGAGTGGCCGGGAGCATTCCACTGGACCGCAGTCTTAGATGGTTTGAGTCTCAGATCCTCTGAACATTATGCTGATATTTTAAGGTTGCCTAGATGTGGAACAGAATCTGAAGATATGTGCTTTGGGGATTGGGCCTAGTCTAGGGGCTGAGTGAGTTGATACCTGTTACATGTTAGTGGCCAACAATGATTATCCGAGGCATCCCCCTAAAAAGGATATAAAAGGCTTAAGTATTTAATTCCCCGCCAAAAGCAAAACCACCCCTTGTTATACAGTACTGCGTGGTCCTCCAGATTGATCTGCACTTGTTGACGTTGAGTGTTCTCAGAGGCTTTCTCGCAAGCTCTCTTGAATTCACATGCGATGCTTTGTGATGCTTTGCGCCTTTGCTTCTAGCTGGCTATGCATCTGGGTTGCAAGCTGCTGTGCAAAGGCCATGCTCGGCTACAGGAGGCTGGAAAGCTGTTCACTACCTTGAGCCCAAAGGTAGCTGACATCAAACCTGCTGTCCATCCACCGCATTCAACAGGTGCATCAGAGTCCATGAGACCTGGCGAGGTACTTCTGATTCCACCGTACTGGATGCACAATCTGTCTAGTGCTGCAGCTTTAATATTCCAGGGTTGATACAAACAAATCATAATTTAATGTTCATTTTGTCAAATAAGAACAGCCACAAACAAAAAACATGCCCAAGACGAGCACGTTTGGCGTCTCGCAGATTTTTCGCGTGGCGAAGAAGCTTCGCATCCAACTCTAGGAGTTGGGCTTCAGCTCATAGGTTTCCACCGAAAGGATCAGTCAAGGCAATTGCTTCAGGGCGTCTTGGCATGTCATGGCGGCTCCTGCGCCCTTGGTGCCGGGTGGCTTCTCAGATTCCTACGGCATTTGACTCAAGCTTTGAAGGGGCACATGTGCCGGCAGCAGCCCTGCACGGCTGTGACGGCAGAAGGCGGGCCCCCAGATTTAGCAGCCACAATCCAGCTTCAGGCAAGGCCTGAAAAGACCTGGCAGGTGTTTTGCGTGTGTTAGTCAGAGTTTGCATATGACTGTTGGATAGCAAGACGTCTTGCATCCTAGCAAGTGGCATATGAAAGACTTTGGTGCTTTTGTTGCTCCCTGCAATTTGTCTAGAGCCGCTTGCGATGAATGGAAGCAAGGCATGCTGTGGGATCGCATGCCTTGAACGTGCGCAGAGCCAGATGAAAACTGGTTAGGGGATGAACGCGCACAGGACTGCTCTTTGCTACCCACAACATGCCTCTTTTGACACATATGGGTTTGTCTCCAAAGCCGGGACCTCAAAATGGTTAGCTTGTTGCTGGTTTACCTTCAAAAACAAAACTGGTCCGCACCGCAGAAAAAGCAGATGCACCCTACGGATGTCCGCCTGGTCTCTGACTTGGGGGACCCAAGTGCGCACGTAAACAACCGCAGCAGATCCAAGCTTCCGGATTGGGGAAGGGTGAGAATCGGAAAGGGAAGCGACTGTGGCAGGTGATCAGGATGTGGTCATTTGAATCAGTAGATGCCAGTTTGGTTTTTGACATAGTGCAAGTGGGGTGCAAGTGGGGGGCAGGGAAAGTCCTCTAATTGTCGCCAGATTTAGGACATCCACCTAATCTGAGGAAGCTGCAAGTGCAACACATTTCTTGCGCCGGCCTTGTTTCGCCTGACGTGGATTGCAATCATCGGAGTTCTGCTTACAGCTTCCAACCCATGAGTTGAGGTTGGGAGTCAACCACCACTCTTTTGTGGAGAACCTATGGTCGTTTCCAGAAATAGCGTCGCCCCAACATGGTCTTCTATTGGATTCCTCAAGGTACTTAGGCATCAATCCTAGTTGCAGGCAAATCAGATAGACCTTGCACAGACGGGGGGAACTCAGTGACTCACTGATATTAGTGACCCACTCCAGATGGCTGCTTCCAAAATGAAGCAACCCCTTTCTGCCAACTTTGCTGGATGATTTGGAAAAGAAACCAACTGCAAACAAACACCAAGAGGGGCCTAGCCGCAGTATCTTCGGTCCGTCTGGAAGATCCGTCAGTCGAATAGGACAGCAATTACCAGCTCATCAGCAACAAGTGCGAGTACAAGACGTGCACTTGCACTTCTGGCACAAGGCCCACAGAATGAGACTGCGGGGGCGGGGGGCGGCAGGAACTAGCGGGGGTTTGGAAACGGAGACCTCAAAATTTGGCTGCTTTGTTTTTGCCCGGATGCTGAATAGCCCAGAATTCTTGGTTTCCTCGACAGGAGCCAAAAGGGACTCAGTAGCTTTGAGTTTCCAGGCCCAGGTACCTGATACCGGAAAGCCTCTCATGAAAGCAGCAAGGGATTCCCAATTTGAAGCCAGGGTGTTGTGGGTGATGCTGTTTGGGGTGCTGTTCAGGTAGTGGGGCAAGTGTGGACGTTGTTGCGGGGTGCTGGTGCGAGATGCTCCGCTGCAAAGGCGACTTGGGGTACTGGTGTAGGGTGCTGGTGCGGGCCGCTGGGGCGGGGCGCTAGTGCAAGGTGATTCTGGGGCCAGGTGAGAGACTGGTGTGGTTGGTTGTGTTTGTCTTGGCGTAATTTGTTTCAATGTGGACTGTTCAATTAGGGTTTAAGGAGCAGGTGAATGAGCACCCTTCTTATCATTGCCACTGCGCAAACACACATGACGGCAAGTGAGGAGTGGTAATCCATACTTGAGTTTCGAATTGTGCCTCAAACGCTGAATGTTGCGCTTCTGGTTTGTCGTGATTAAGGCATTCATGTTTGAGAATGCAAGCCTGGGCTTCATGCCAGAGGCTCAATGCAACACGTGCCTGGGTCAACAAAACCCGGTTTTCATGCGAAAGTTTACAAACATGCACGTTGATCGAACGCCCCTTTTCTTGCGATTGCTAAAGACTGTCACCCGCAATTCATGAGAGGTCCCATGAACGAGGTTGGCTCTTGGAGGGTACCCTTCCATTTCGGGGGTTCGATCCAGGCCTGCAAAGACGATAAGTTGGAAGGTTTTAGGCCGATCCAACTCTTAGTCAGAAAGAACTCTCCAGGTTGGGGTGTGCTCGAAAGCTACGTTGAAGGGGTCTTGGCAAGGGAGACTCAAACTCACGGGCGCGGAGTGTTGAGGCAGCTTTCCCTCCCCATACAATGAACTACTCACGATTTGTTCCGAGATTGATAATGCACCACGCAGCGTAATGTCTGTTGCTATGGTTGCTCAAGAGCAAACTCCAATTGAATAGAATTCACCGTTTTACCGATTTCCCAGCCGGAATCACAATGGTTGGGGGAAGGGCTGGTGGCCGCAACCGACATCCGGGGTTGGGGGGGGGGAAGGAGGGGGAGGGAGCCCAAATAAGCCCTTATTAAGCCCTTAATAAGGGCCTATTCCGGGCCTTTTTGGGCTCCCTCCCCTTCCCCTCCCTCCCCCCCAGCCCCCATGATCTAAAGTTTCAGCACCCAAGTCCCTTGCACCAAAGCCCAGCAAAAAGGAGGAACCTTGTGGAGCCCCCACACAATGCGTGAAACTTCTAATTCTGCGTCGGGGCCTGGTCTGGGGCCTGTTGCCCTGTTGCGGTTGGGAAAGCGGCTGCGGGATGTCTAGAAATTGCGAACCTCAGACCGATCGCAGGGCTGAGGGCAGCGCCTGCCCGGCCATGAGCGACGCGAAGTGCGTGTCCTGCAACACAGGCCGCGGCATCGGCGCGAGTTGTGCGTGCCAGTTGCGCCGTTTGTTTGGTGGATCCTTGGTGGTTTTGTTGGCCGGGGTCGGTCCCACTGAAGAAAGACCCCAGAAAACATTGAGCTTCGTTGGAGAGTTTGAGCAGTGGGTAACCCTTTTAGAGGCCTGTTTGGCATATAACAGGAGCGCCTCGCACAGTGTCTCTGTTGTACTTTCCCCTTGTGCTGCCGGCTGCTTGCGTCACCCGAGCCTCCTGGGATGGCATGGTTGGCTTCTGATTTTTCTCCACAGGCAGGGCCGAATTGCGAGAAATCCTTGCTAAACATTTGCTTTACTCCGCTTGTCTTGGCAAGTGTGCCGTCCAAGTGCTTTCTTAGTCGAGGCAGTAGGCATGGGCAGCATTCTTTTGAGGACTGTTGTCACCAAGGGTGGCTAATGTCTGTTGGGAACTTTGACTGTCCCCCATGTGGTTGAGGCTTTGACTCTGGCTCATTTGTTTCCCTTTCCGGGCTGATGGGCTAGCGAGATAGCTCAGAATCACCTGAGAAGTCTGGAGAATGACATATTTGGTCCCCTTCCTGGATTTTGGTGTATGAGTCTATGAGTTGTCTATGAGTCATTCCAATTCATTCCCTGAGAACCACCAAGTCATGACTTTGAATGACCAAATCTTAGGGCGGGTGACCTGAAAGATGGTCCCTTTGTAAGGACCAGAATTTGCAGGGGTCTCGCGTCATGTTCCATGTTGGCTTGAGGGAGTTGATGCTGGGCACTTCGAGTTGGGTCGTCACATCACGCACCCAAGTCATTTGTCGGCAAGGTTCGGTACGAATCGTCGACAAGCTTCAAGGCAGTCTTTGACATTCAGGGTGGATGACCGTTTTGGGTCATGTCCAACACATTTGCCTTGTTCAGAAATCAGCGATCCCTGGTTTTCAGAGCACCCGCGGTAATAAGCAGCATGACGACTGGACCCTTTCGGGTCATGCCTCAGGATTCCACATGAGCGGCGTCTCCTGCAAGCAGAACGTATGCAGCTGCAGCAACGGCAACGCGGCCACCGGCACAAGCTGTGACGTGAACAACGAGCACAAGCCCTTTGGCTACTATCGGCTTTCCTGGCGATCAACCGCAACCGCAAATGGTTCGTGTTCCTCAAAAGGAGGCCACAAGGCGATGGATATGTTTTTCCCCCCAAAGGTCCACCCCCCCCGAAACATGGTTGATTTTCGTTTGGTTTCTGTTTGAAACAGCCCAGCAAGGGCATCGAGCCTCAAAAAAGGACACCCCGCGGACCATAGTTTTGGTCATTCCTCTAAAGGAACTCTTTTGATTTCCTTCTCGAACAGCCCTAATGTTTTTTAGTTCAACTCTCTGGCTGAGCTTCCGTCGAACAGTGTCTCCTTCCAGCTCTCACCTCCCCGTTTTGACGTTTCCCAGCAATTGCCTGGGGCTTTTGGCACATGGCTGAGACCCTTTTGATGCTTGGTTTGCCTTTGCTACCAAGCAAGATTCAACCGGTGAACCTGATTCTACCAAACGGCCCAACAGGTTTCTACCACTTGGGTACTGGGATGACTGCATTTGCCGGTAGATCTCGGAGGCCTTTGAGGACCCTCTACTTAAATTAACTAGGATTGCATTGAACACACCATCCAGCCAGCTCTCCACCGGATTCTCAAAGTCATCTGCGGGCAAGTCTCAATGTGAGAACCCCCAAGCTCTGAATTGCCAAGGCAAAATTGGGGACTGATTGTGGTCACTGAACCTCTTGAACTGCAATGTACAAAATGGTCACTAAGTTGTCACAGCGTGTTTCCAGATCAATGGATTACACATGCTGGTGGGTGCTACTCGTATATCATCAACTTTCAACTTGATCAGAACATGCGTTTTCGCACTAACAACAGTAAATTCAACATGTTGTGCAGCAAGGCAATAGCCAACAAGCGGAAATGATTAACACTTGTAGCAGCCGTGCCAATGAGAGTTCCCTTGGCTTCTGCTTTCGCTTTCTTCACCATCAGTTGCAGCATATCGAGTTTAAATGGGAAACCCGCTCCAAAATGAATTGGTGGACATACCTGACCCCCATGTGAGTGGTGTCCGCCAAAGTGTCCCAATGGCAACTTTCCACTTTCCATCCAACTGTGGGGTGGGTTCGAAGAACGATTCGGGCGCACCTTGAGGTGCGCGAGCTGCGTGAACGGGGACTACGCGCTGATCAGCGAGAAGTGCGTGTACAAGTCCTGCAAGTGCTCCAACGGCGCGGCGCGCCTTGCCGGCAAGGATACCAAATGGAAACCAACAGGTAGTCCACCATTTAGGGGGTTCCTTTAGGCAAATGACAAAGGATCCATCCCTGTGTGGTTTCCTTTTGAGGAACCAGGTTGGGATGGATGGAGCCTGATAAATAGCAAGATAAACAACTTACCAACTTAGTAGGATTTTGTCCATCCACTGTATTCACCACGTTGAAAATCACATTCACCAGCAGATTTGGTGGCTCCCCTTTCTAATCGGGTGATATTGGATGTGTTTTTTAGGCACCCTGAAATCCCCTACCCACCAGCGAACACACCTGACAAAACCAAGCGTCCCTCGATTTCTTTTTGTCGGTCTCCAGTGGCAATGTCATTTGAGTCCACGAGCAGATCTCAGCTTTTGAAGGGGGGATCCAGTGCCTTTGTCAGGACCTGGTTGGGCAAGGGATTAGATTGCAAAGTGTTGCATCGATTTACTCAACAGATCAAGGGCTTCCGAAGAAAGGAGCTGCTTTGCAGACCCCTTTGCATCTTTTGGAACAAGCCCAGCTTTTGCAATTTCAGAACCCAGGTTTAATTAGTTTCAGGATGAATGAACTCCTAAGAGAGGGCCCTTTTTTCTTGAGGGATGTTTTGACTTTAAGGGGGAATCACTATTGTTTCGCCAGGTTCATGAATCAGCCTGCCCCAGGCTTCCAAGTTCTGACAATGGGGCCTCCACGGGAGGAAGGGGTTTTCTTCTTGTTCTTGCAGGAAGTGAGCAAACTGGTCGATGAACCTTCCCACCCACATGGAACCCTGACAGATGGTCCCTTTGAAAGGACCGGCAGTGGTCTCCCGTCACGTTCCATGTTGTCGTGAGAGGGGAACTGATGCTGTGAATTTCAGGTTGGGTCGTTACATCAAGCACCCAAGTCAGTCAAGGACTTTGGCGGCAAGGTACGAATCGTTAGCACACTTCAAGGCATGCTTTGATATTCAAACTCCAATATCCAAAGAAAAGGCAGCAAGCAACTGCTACAATGGAGGCCCCTGGACAGTGTGCTGGGGTCATTGACCGTTTCTGCAGGGTGTCAAAGTCAAAAACTGGGGTGGTTTCTCTTCAACCTACCGCTTTGAGGGTGATACTGGTTGGTACGGGGAATAGGTTCCTCACGGGCATGTTTGCTGACCTCTCCTGCGATTCTTTTCGAATCGCACATTTGTTCAAAAAACAGGTACGACAATTTATTTGGGGAGAAAGTGGCGGCTGCGGGCCTGTTGATTCCCGCGCTTTCTCTTTGAGGAAAACCGTCCGCGTTCTGCGAGGTCCCAGGGTTCTCAATGTGACAATCACAACACCAACGAGTGCCAGAGCTGCAACGCAGGCGCGGTTGCGAGAGAACTGCATGGGTTGTTGGCAGTCTGCAGTTGGTTGGGGAAGAAAAGCGGGGGAAGGGCACTGAAAGTACCAAACAGAAATCGGGAGGACCACCCAATTTTCCCATGCCCGAAGGTTCGGGGAATCCTGTAAGTCTTGCACGTTGCTCGCATGGTTATGTCCGTTAAAAGGGGCAGGAATGAGAATGCTTAGCATCCAGAAGTACGGAGCCCGAAAGAGAGAAACCATTGGAGGTGTTGAAACAACCAAACGACCAGGCTTTATGGATAGGTGCCACCTGCTGCCTTCGACACACACACACGCACACACCTTGATGGATGTCCCAGATCAGGTGAGCTTCTTGGCCTAATTCGTCAAAGGGCACTTCCCCTTTTCAAGGCTCCTGTTGAAGTGCACTGAATTGCCCTTTGATTCTTGATGGGTGCTCCAAACTCTCAACTTGCTTCGGGTTTAATTGACCCGCAAATCTTCGCGAGTTTACCGGCGCGAGCCAAGCTGCCAGCCAAAGGCCCTCCTGGCGCGGGTTTCCAGCGGGTAACCTTGGAAACCCTTCTGACGCGGGTTTCCGGCAGGTTCCGAGTGTTTTCGTGGGTTCTGCAACTCAAAGCCACAAATTGCAGGTTCTGACATAGCAGACAAGGCCGCGGATTTGCTCGGTTTGCTCTGGGTTCCCATAAGTTTGGCCTACCTAGAAAGTGTAGGTTTTTGTGGAAGCTTTGCCACAATCTCATCCCCGAAAAGGGGTCAACAGGGCTAGAAGTAGCTGTGGGCCGGTACCTAAACAATGCAGGCAAACCAACCACACATTCTCAATCCTTACAGACAAGAGCACTTTCCTTGTTCCCCTAGTTCCATGCCTCTTCCCAAAGGTGACATGATTATGTATCTCCACCAATTTGGAGGGTGGTGCAACTGTGAGAAATGATGTCCATCTGCGTGGTTGGATGTTCAGTTTTACCAGTGTACTTCCTTAGAGCCCACTCTGGAAAGCTGCCTCCATGTTCAGAGAGATGCCCAAGACATCGCAGGAACGTCACGGCCCCCTGCGACCGCCGGCCGATCGCAGCGCCCTAAGGCTACCACGAGGTGAAGAGCGGAGCCAAGATCACGAGCTGCAACCAGCTCCTTGTTTTGCAGCTCCGGAGATCGAGACAACCCGTAGCTCGCTTTTGGGGAACTTCAAAAGCCAACGAGGTGAACATCTTTGGGGGTGGTTCCAAACTCCCGTGGGCCATGTCAAAAGGTCCTTTTACCCAAGCATGTACCCTATCCTTTATGCGGAGAAAGGCCAACCGTGGTGCATGTCCGGCACCATTTGGGATAGAAAAGCCCTGTGAAAACTGGATAAGCCACCTTTCAACTTGGGGTGCGAAGTGGACTTTGTCCATCAACAGCAACGGTTTCCCCCCAGATTCGATTCACCAAGCACAGATTTCGGCCCTGGTTTTCGTGTGTGAATTAGCCGAGATCATTGTTTCCGTGCAGGGATCTCTCATTTTCGCCGGCCCGTATCTTGGGGTTCGGCAAAAATCGGTCTTGGTTTGGGATGCAAAGGCTCGGGGGAAGGTTTCGGCGCCTTCCATGCTCCACGGGCATTTTCGCCCGTGTCGTCAACTCCATCGCGCCTAAAAACCATTTGACTTCGAGTTCTAATCAGTACACGGTCCGGTAAAGAAGGGGTGGGGTGTTGGGCATGTCGGTCTATGAGTCGATGTTGCAATAGCCTAAGGTGCCCCTTCGGTAGTCTAGTAGTCACACCACCCGACATTGCCGGCCCCAAACCAATACCAGGTAACAGTGCCCGTTGCTCAGCAGTCTCCTTCCTCATTGCCAACTGCTACGATTGCGCATTTGTTTCCAAGGGGCGGAGTGTCTATAACAGCCGCGAAAAAGGGTCAGGCAAAGCTGGTGGGTGGTTCGAGGAATAGAGACAGGCACAGTCTTGCAAGTCCAAACGCCCCAGTTTGTGCAATAATCACGGCTTAGACTCACTTTGCAAAACTAATCTTTTGATCGCCCGGTTTTGATCCATTTTCAGTGAAGCTTCCAACAGATTACATGGACCCTTTTTATACATGGTCTTTTGGGGCGGTGAGTCGATGTGTTTGAGTGGGTCGCGCTGGTCAGTCCCACGAACTGTAGCTCGTTGCCCCGGCCTAGCCATCCTAGTGACACCCGGCCTGGTGAGTTATCCAAGTACCAGTGATATAAGCCGGATGCCAAATGGGTGTCAAGAGAGTTATTTTATGCGTTTGGTGGTTTCCCTCTTGAAACTATGGCTGAAGCAAAGGGCTGCCCCAAGCTATAGTGGTTCAAACATGCTGAAGCAAAGGGTCGGCGCAAGCAAGAGTAAAGGGTTGACCCAAAACAAACATGGTTCAATGATGCTGAAACAAAGGGTTGGCCCAAGAAAGAGTAGTTCAATCATGCTGAAACAAAGGGTTGACCCAAGAAAGAGTGGTTCAATCATGCTGAAACAAAGGGTTGTCCCAAGAAATAGTGGTTCAATCATGCTGAAACAAAGGGTTGACCCAAGAAATAATGGTTCAATCATGCTGAAACAAAGGGTTGACCCAAGAAATAGTGGTTCAATCATGCTGAAACAAAGGGTTGACCCAAGAAATAGTGGTTCAATCATGCTGAAACAAAGGGTTGACCCAAGAAATAGTGGTTCAATCATGCTGAAACAAAGGGTTGACCCAAGAAGTAGTGGTTCAATCATGCTGAAACAAAGGGTTGACCCAAGAAATAGTGGTTCAACCATGCTGAAACAAAGGGTTGACCCAAGAAAGAGTGGTTCAATCATGCTGAAACAAAGGGTTGACCCAAGAAATAGTGGTTCAATCATGCTGAAACAAAGGCTTGACCCAAGAATAGTGGTTCAATCATGCTGAAACAAAGGGTTGACCCAAGAAATAGTGGTTCAATCATGCTGAAACAAAGGGTTGACCCAAGAAAGAGTGGTTCAATGTGAAGCAAAGGGTTGACCCAAGAAAGAGTGGTATAATCATGCTGAAACAAAGGGTTGACCCAAGAAGTAGTGGTTCAATCATGCTGAAACAAAGGGTTGACGCAAGAAAGAGTGGTTCAAACATGCTGAAACAAAGGGTTGACCCAAGAAATAGTGGTTCAATCATGCTGAAACAAAGGGTTGACCCAAGAAATAGTGGTTCAATCATGCTGAAACAAAGGGTTGACCCAAGAAAGAGTGGTTCAATGTGAAGCAAAGGGTTGACCCAAGAAAGAGTGGTATAATCATGCTGAAACAAAGGGTTGACCCAAGAAGTAGTGGTTCAATCATGCTGAAACAAAGGGTTGACGCAAGAAAGAGTGGTTCAAACATGCTGAAACAAAGGGTTGACCCAAGAAATAGTGGTTCAATCATGCTGAAACAAAGGGTTGACCCAAGAAATAGTGGTTCAATCATGCAGAAACAAAGGGTTGACGCAAGAAAGAGTGGTTCAATTGTGCTGAAACAAAGGGTTGTCGCAAGAAAGAGTGGTTCAATCATGCTGAAACAAAGGGTTGACCCAAGGAAGAGTGGTTCAATCATGCTGAAACAAAGGGTTGACCCAAGAAAGAGTGGTTCAATCATGCTGAAACAAAGGGTTGACCCAAGAAATAGTGGTTCAATCATGCTGAAACAAAGAGTTGTCCCAAGAAATATAGGTTCAATCATGCTGAAACAAAGGGTTGACCCAAGAAATAGTGGTTCAATCGTGCTGAAACAAAGGGTTGACCCAAGAAAGAGTGGTTCAATCATGCTGCAACAAAGGGTTGACCCAAAAAGAGTGGTTCAATCATGCTGAAGCAAAGGGTTGTCCCAAGAAATAGTGGTTGAATCATGCTGAAACAAAGGGTTGACCCAAGAAAGAGTGGTTTAAACATGCTGAAACAAAGGGTTGACCCAAGAAAGAGTGGTTCAATCATGCTGAAACAAAGGGTTGACCCAAGAAAGAGTGGTTTAAACATGCTGAAACAAAGGGTTGACCCAAGAAAGAGTGGTTCAATCATGCTGAAACAAAGGGCTGCCCCAAGAAAGAGTGGTTCAATCATGCTGAAACAAAGGGTTGACCCAAGAAATAGTGGTTCAATCATGCTGAAACAAAGGGTTGACCCAAGAAATAGTGGTTCAGACATTCTGAAACAAAGGGTTGACCCAAGAAAGAGTGGTTCAATCATGCTGAAACAAAGAGTTGTCCCAAGAAAGAGTGGTTCAATCATGCTGAAAAGAGGGTTGACCCAAGAAACAGTGGTTCAAACATTCTGAAACAAAGGCGACCCAAGAAAGAGTGGTTCAATCATGCTGAAACACAGGGTTGATCCAAGAAAGGGTGGTTAAATCATGCTGAAGCCAAGGGTCGACCCAAGAAATAGTGGTTCAAAAAAGCTGAAACAAAGGGTTGACCCAAGAAAGAGTGGTTCGAACATGCTGAAACAAAGGGTTGACCCAAGAAAGAGTGGTTCAATCATGCTGAAACAAAGGGTTGACGGTGGTTCAATGATGCTGAAACAAAGGGTTGACCCAAGAAATAGTGGTTCAATCATGCTGAAACAAAGGGTTGACCCAAGAAATAGTGATTCAATCGTGCTGAAACAAAGGGATGACCCAAGAACGAGTGGTTCAATCATGCTGCAACAAAGGGTTGACCCAAAATGAGTGGTTCAATCATGCTGAAACAAAGGGCTGACCCAAGAAAGAGTGGTTTAAACATGCTGAAACAAAGGGTTGACCCAAGAAAGAGTGGTTCAATCATGCTGAAACAAAGGGCTGACCCAAGAAAGAGTGGTTCAATCATGCTGAAACAAAGGGTTGACCCAAGGAAGAGTGGTTCAATCATGCTGAAATACAGGGTTGACCCAAGAAAGAGTGGCTCAAACATTCTGAAACAAAGGGTTGACCCAAGAAGGAGAGTGGTTCAATCATGCTGAAACAAAGGGTTGATCCAAGAAATAGTGGTTCAATCATGCTGAAACAAAGGCTTGACCCAAGAATAGTGGTTCAATCATGCTGAAATAAAGGGTTGACCCAAGAAATAGTGGCTCAAACATTCTGAAACAAAGGGTTGACCCAAGAAGGAGAGTGGTTCAATCATGCTGAAACAAAGGGTTGATCCAAGAAATAGTGGTTCAAACATTCTGAAACAAAGGGTTGACCCAAGAAGTAGTGGTTCAATCATGCTGAAACAAATGGTTGACCCGAGAAAGAGTGTGCTGAAACAAAGCGTTGACCCAAGAAATAGTGTTCAATCATTCTGAAACAAAGGGTTGACCCAAGAAAGAGTGGTATAATCATGCTGAAACAAAGGATTGACCCAGGAAATAGTGGTTTAATCATGCTCCAAGAAATAGTGGTTCAATTATGCTGAAACAAAGGGTTGACGCAAGAAATAGTGGTTCAATCATGCTGAAACAAAGGGTTGACCCAACAAATAGTGGTTCAAACATGCTGAAACAAAGGGTTGACCCAAGAAAGAGTGGTTCAATGATGCTGAAACAAAGGGTTGACCCAAGAAAGGGTGGTTCAATCATGCTGAAACAAAGGGTTGACCCAAGAAGTAGTGGTTCAATCATGCTGAAACAAAGGGTTGACCCAAGAAATAGAGGTTCAATCATGCTGAAGCAAAGGGTTGACCCAAGAAATAGTGGTTCAATCGTGCTGAATCAAAGGGTTGACCCAAGAAATAGTGGTTCAATCATGCTGAAACAAAGGGTTGACCCAAGAAAGAGTGGTTCAATCGTGCTGAAACAAAGGGTTGACCCCCCAAAATAGTGGTTCAACCATGCTGAAACAAAGGGTTGACCCAAGAAAGAGTGGTTCAATCATGCGGAAACAAAGGGTTCACCCAAGAAATAATGGTTCAATCCTGCTGAAACAAGGGGTTGACCCAAGAAAGACTGGTTCAATCATGCTGAAACAAAGGGTTGACCAAAGAAATAGTGGTTCAATCATGCTGAAACAAAGGGTTGACGCAAGAAATAGTGGTTCAATGATGCTGAAACAAAGGGTTGACCCAAGAAAGAGTGGTTCAATCATGCTGAAACAAGGGGTTGACGCAAGAAAGAGTGGTTCACTCATGCCGAAATAAAGGGTTGACCCAAGAAGTAGTAGAAGTAGTGGTTCAATCATGCTGAAACAAAGGGTTGACCCAAGAAGTAGTGGTTCAATCATGCTGAAGCAAAGGGTTGACCCAAGAAGTAGTGGTTCAATCATGCTGAAACAAAGGGTTGACCCAAGAAGTAGTGGTTCAATCATGCTGAAACAAAGGGTTGACCCAAGAAGTAGTGGTAGTGGTTCAATGATGCTGAAACAAAGGGTTGACCCAAGAAGTAGTGGTTCAATCATGCTGAAACAAAGGGTTGACCCAAGAAGTAGTGGTTCAATCATGCTGAAACAAAGGGTTGACCCAAGAAGTAGTGGTTCAATCATGCTGAAACAAAGGGTTGACCCAAGAAGTAGTGGTTCAATCATGCTGAAACAAAGGGTTGACCCAAGAAGTAGTGGTTCAATCATGCTGAAACAAAGGGTTGACCCAAGAAGTAGTAGAAGTAGTTGTTCAATCATGCTGAAACAAAGGGTTGACCCAAGAAGTAGTGGTTCAATCATGCTGAAACAAAGGGTTGACCCAAGAAGTAGTGGTTCAATCATGCTGAAACAAAGGGCTGACCCAAGAAGTAGTGGTTTCCCGCCCCCCCCCCCAACCTGTTGCTGTGGCGCTCTCCACAGGAATACCTGCAGCTGCTCTAATGGCAATGCGGCCACCGGTGCCAGTTGCAGCAGCAACAACGCGGCCCGGGGGCCAAGCAAGAGGTTTGAAACATCTGGACTTGGGTGGTGTCCTGTGGTTTCCCTGGGTTTTCCCTTGATTCCTTTTGGTTTCCTTGGCTTGTCTTGTGGCTTTTTTGGCTTCCATCGTGGCTTCAAATCATGAAGCACCAGCCGAGATTCGGCCCGGATTGGCTCATTTCACCGTTTATTCCGGATTTATTATGGCAACCCAGCTCCCAGAGCCAACATGGCCATGGCCATGGAGTATAACCTTCAACTGCAGACATTTGGCATTTTGTACAAGCTACATCGACGTATGTAGCCATCTCGGCTAAAAGGACCGCGTCTGCCCAATACTCGAGGTTTGGATGGTAGCGGAGCCGATCTCCCAGGGCAAGAACAACTCCAAGGCCAGGCCCAAGAACGTTCGGAAGATCGGCAACGGAAAGGTCACGCGGAGGAACCCTTGGCATCAGCCTCAAAGGGGTGGTGCTGAGGACAGAGGAGAAAGAGCTGACCAGTTGGAGGTGACACTGAGCAGCCGGGCACCGAGGTCCTGCTGTGCTGGAGAGGTTGGACAGTGGTGGCGCTGGCGTTAGCCCTGGCGTGTGCGGCGACGTGACGAGCTCGGGCACGGTCTCCGCCCCGCAATTGTTCGCATCCAACACACTCACCGTGACCAACACCTCCGATTGACACTGACGAAGAACCTGGGTCTCCCCATACTTCTCCACCATGCCCTGCTCACCTCCTTCTTCTCCTCTTCGCCGCGGTTCCGTGCTGGCGGGCTAGCCTCTTAGAGCCTCCGGAACCCCCTCACCCTTGGGTCCGGGAAGCCCGCTTAGCATCACCACCGGCGGCGTTGCTCCTCCTGCTGCTGCAACTGCCTGTTGCTGCGTCTGCTCATCCTCTTCCTCCGCCGGGTTGACGTACTGGCACACATCCCAAGGCACACCCATCGCCGTCCTCATCCTTGATCTCCCGAGGTCCTCTTCCTGCTCCACCAGCTCCAAATCTCTCTTCATGTTGCTCAGCCGCCGTCGCGGACTGGTGAACTTGTCAGGAGCCATGGCTGCTCTCGCCTTATCAACTCCTTGACCATCGCTTGGTCCTCCGCCCTGTCCTAGTTCCACCTCTCTTTGCCGTCCCTCCAGTCAATGGCTGCCCCTTCTCGCAGGCCGAACCGCTTCAGCTCCAACATCCGCTTTGGGCTGAACCTCTATGACGTCCAGCGATCCAATGCTAGCTGCCTCCTCACTCCGCTGACCGCCTTCATTTGTCGTGGTCCTTGCAACCCAGCTTCATCCTCCTCAATTTCTCTCATGAGGTCTTCAATATCTGAAACTCTGTCGTCACCGCTTTTCTTCTTTGGCGACGCCTCACCTGCACTGCTTAAATTCAAAGGCTCCTCTCTTTCTCCTCTCTCCTCTTCGCCCTCGGGCTCGGCCTCCGCTTTGGCGATCTCCTTACAGTCTCTCGTTCCTCATCCTGCAGCTGCTGATCCGCCAGCTGCGCCAGGTGCCTTTCGCTTCTGAATCCTCGCCCTGCATTCATCATCATGCCGAACCTGCTGATACAGCTTGCCCTTGATGAGTGAGATGCGGGCTGCAGCGTGGGTCCTGGCCACTCAAACCGTGGGGGGGCCCTGGGCAGTGAACCCCTGGAACATTGTGCGCACCTACAACCTGACTCCCGGCCGGGAGTGTCCGGTACTGCCCCAACTTCGTGGTGTACAAACAACGCCTGATCGTGGAGGAAGATGGCGAGTCAGGAACAGATGGTGCAGATGATGCAGCAGATGCAACGACAGCTGCAACAGATCCAGGCGGAGAATCAGCAGCTACGGGATAGGGTGATGGCGCATGAGACACAGATGGAGGAGCCGCGGCGGTGGAAGTGCTGTCAGCCCTGCAGAGGCTGCCGGAGGCGCTGGAGAAGATGAGCAAACCAAGCAGCAGGCTCATCGATCAGAAAGGCCTAGGAAAGCCGCGGGTGCTGGGTGATGATGCGGACACAAGAGAAAGGAGTGCTGGACAAGGCCCACTACCGGAGGTGGAAAAGGAACAGGAGGAACGGCCAAAGGCGGCAAGGGGGCCCACAAGAAGTTTGAGGGGAACTGCAACAATTCTGGGAAGCCCGGCAGTTGGCGGGCGCCTGGCGGTGGTGGTTCACAGTCGTCTACGGTGAGTCCCAAGTCAGGTAAAGGCAAAGGAAAAGGGAAAGATGCTTCTTCGGTAGAGGACAACAGCGAGCCGGAGGGCAAGGCGCGGCGAATGCTCTGGAGATCTGTGCGCTGACGGTGGGGGCGTTCGCAAAGAGGCAAGGTCAGAGACGGACCCGGTAGTGCCCAAGCGATTCAAGGATGATGCCATTGAGAAGGAGAACCGCTTCAAGACGGCAAGCGGGGAGCTGATCAGAAACTACGGGTCATGCACTATGACGCTGGAGGCCATGCCCACGGAGCACCCCATATGCAAGATGATGAACCAGGCGTATGAGGTGGCCATGCAGAGGTACGATGAGAAGGGCACGATCATGTTGCATGAGGAGCGCGGCATCTACAACTAGCGTTGGACATGCAGATCCGGAAACGGTTTGGGCATTGGAGGAGGAAGAAGAACTAGCGGAAGCTCGACCGGCCAGACCTGCGTGGTGCCGAGCGAGCGTGAGAGAAGAGAACGAGAACATGAAGCTAGTGGACATGCCGTCTACAGGAGCTGGTGCCAGAGCTGTGTGAGGGTGCTGGGGATGGCGCAGAAGCACTCTAGGGTGAGCCATGGGGAGGAGACCATCCCACCATCAGCATGGACTACTTCTATGTAGAAGAAGAAGAAGAAGGCGCAAAACCAAATTTGATCCCATGCCATGTTTTGGGGAGAAGATCCTGAAGCCAAGCGGCAAGGGAAGAAGAGGAGACCTCTCCAAGATGGTCCCTGGGCGCTACGCACAACCGGTTTGGGTCGGTGCGAACCAGGGTGTAATCGTTGGGACGGGCTATCACACACGCTGGCGGATGACCAGAAATGGGGGAAGATCGAGGCAGACTTGATGGAGCGCGCAACACGAGCACCCCAAGATTTCATCAAGCTGGGAAATGCGCATTTGGTGGGGAGGAACCGAGCGAAGATGGCGCAGGTGTGCCCAAAGAAGCTGGTGGAAGCGGTGCTGAAAGGGTTGCAGAAGGAGATCAGAGCGAGGAAGGAGATCGGCAGCTTGGAGGAGAAGTTGACAGGCATCGCCTGACTTGAGGAGATGAAGAAGTACGTGGACGATGTGACCGGGACGGAGCTTGAGGTGGACAAGGCGCGAGCCGACGAGCTGGACTGGCTGAGAACGGAAGCAGTGGGTCAAACCCCTGCAGTTGAAGTGGCTGGATATCAACAGGTGAGGAGTTGGCTGGCGAGGAGACGTTCGCGGGCTGGAGAGCTGATGATGCTCCTGAGCATCTTCATGACGAGGAAGCCAGGAGAAGACAAGAAGCTTGGAGTGTGGGACATATCCCGAGCTCATTTCATGGGTCGTGCGGCTGTTCGTGGAGTTGCCGGAAGAGGATCGATACCACGACGACGACCTGGACCGATGCGCGGGCGACTTCTCAGATTGATGCACGGGACGCAGGATGCGTCCCACTTTTTTCAGAAGGACTACTCCAAGTGAATGGAGGAGAACGACGCCAAGTTCAGCGAGCTGTGTCCAGCTCAAGTTTGAGGCGAAAGGCTTGGTTGGCTTGGTGCATGGGGATGACTGCCGACTGCTGCACCAGGCCAGGGATCGACCCCCCGAAGGCGCCGAAGTGCAGCTTTGCGGCGCCGGCCGGGGCAGCAAGAAGTCCAGCGCCGTGCTCCAAACCCCTGCACCGCCGTGCCGAGGAAGGTGCCGGTGACGCCCGCGTAGCGGTTGTCGGCCGCGCTGACGTACATCACCAGATTCGAGGCCGAGCCCAGCCGGTAGCGGCAGCCGCGCCGGGTGTCCGTGTTCCAGGCAAAGGCGTCACGGCGTAGCCCTCCAGCTCGACACCAGGAAGTTGCCCAGCGTGGTCAGGGTCGGGGCCAGCAGCACGTTGCCCATGGTGGTGAGCGTGACGTCGTCCGCCGTCGATAAACTTGTGCTTCAGCAACAGGGCCGAGGCCGTCGTGTCCTCGTGCGACCGGCAGCGGCAAGAGCCTGGAGGAGCTGGACAAGGTGCTGAACTCGCGCTACACAGCGCGATGGGAAGCACTTATATACTGGGTGGAGGCGAGAAGGACGACAAGAAGTTGTTCTTCTTGAGCCGACATGGTGCGGTATGTGCGAGATGGATCCAGAGCATGGGCTTCAATGAACGGACCAAGGGCATGGACAGAGGAGAAGTCTAGGCAGGACTGGTGACAAGGCCGGAACGAGCGAGTGTGAGGATGGCCTACCTGAGCCAGGAACGGCCTGACCTGAGCCACACGGTCAAGTGCTTGGCTGGCAAGATGAAGATTGGCAGAAGCTCAACAAGGCAGTGCGCTACTTGGTGAAGTATTCGTAGATGAAGCGGGTCTACAAGAGCAGTACCAGGACGAGCTGGAGATCATGGCGCTGTCGGATAGCGATTGGGCTGCAACGAGAAGGAGAACTACGGGATCGGTGGCGAAGCAAGGGCAGCACACCCTCATCATAAAGGGGACTACGCAGCGGGCGGTGGCGTTGAGCTTGTGCGAAAGCAAGTACTATGCGACGTGCAGGACAGCTACCTTGGCGGAGTTCCTGAGGGGGGTGGCAGAGTTCTGGAGCGGCAAGGTGAAGCCGACGATCATGGCGGTGGATAGCACGGCAGCAAAGGCGCTGGCAGAGCGCCGAGGCAGGCGAGATTTCCGTGGCTGCAGCAGGCAGTCGCAGATAAACGGCTGAAGATCGTGAAGGTGAAGGGCGCGGAGCATGACGCGGACCTGGTGACGAAGATCCAGCCGGTAGCACGCTACAAGGGCACCTTTTGAGGCTGGGATTCGTTTCGTCATTGCGGGAAGGCCACAAAGGCCTGACCATTTGAGGTGCTTC